AAGCAGTATCAAACATCGAAGTAAAGAGCGACAAATTTAGATTGTGGTATCAAAGGTGACCAAGTACTCCCTGAAACGTGTCCGCCATCTTAGAGTCGACCAGCAGAGCCATTTTCGGTTTCTAACTGAACCTGAAAAAGTTATTATACTACCAGGAACTCACGTCAAGAATGCTGAATTACATTGTATGTATAATATCGACCGTAGTAAACTCAAATTAGTCAAAATAGCATACTAGAACTTATGATGTGATTAAAGGGAATACTAAGAGATATTGTGTACTTATTTTAAATAGTTTTATTTGGATGGGAAAAGATCTGCATCAAACAGAAAATATTTACGAAGAAGAACACCAAAAATAGAAGATGTGTATTATTAACCTTATTGATTATATTTATATCCTACATAGTTATATGTTAAAATTAATCTATATACCTATTATTATATATTATCCTATTATTTGTGACAAATAGAAAGGAATGGGTGGAGGGGATTTGAAACTCGTCTAAAATTTTCGGTATAAATCGTCTATCATATTGATGCAGCAATAAAAATTGAAAAAAAGACGTCCTATAATAATAAAAAAAAAACAGTACAAAATTTAGGGTATCTGTAAATATAAAGTAGGGATTTTTGTTTACTAAAAAAATGGACTGCCAAAATCTAATCAGGAATGTGGAGCTTTTCAGTTCCAATAAAAATTAGAACACAAAAAGCAAGTTTTATTTCAACTTTATTCCGTAGTTTGTTATGAAGACGAGTATCAGTGATCAATTTTGCCTAACAGTGGCCATATTCAAGCATTTTTCACACCATGTTTACCCATCCTTGGTTACAGCAAAATCAGGTGCATTTTGGAAAAAGCATACCTCATAGATGCCTCTATTAAAAAAATTCATCACATTCTCATCAAAAAAAGTTTAAATTGTTCAGTTTAAGTCATATTTCTGTACAATTCTTGTTTAGTATCACGAATCGTCATTTTATTATGTTTTGGTGGAGCCTCTAAATCTCCAGATATCCAAGAAAAGTTTTTGTCTAATTCAATGCGCGGCGTAGTACATGGCTCATCCTCTTTATTGACACCAACATCGATGCCAATATCATCACCTATTTGGTTGTTGTGTAGTAGTAATCGATTTATATCAAAATCATCTTCGCCTCCCGACTCTTAGTCTATTAGGCTCAAGAGGTTCAATGATCCACATCTATATCATTTTCATATGCTGTTTGGAGAGCGTCTTTTAAAGTCAAGCGCCGTTGAATGTAACCACATTCGCTGTTTACAAACATCTCTTGCCAACATGTAAATTCACAAAAAATAACTAGATCAGAAAACGCGTGTTCAGGCAATCTTACTGAAGCGACCTACAGCACCATCTGTGTTACAAAAGGCAAATTTTATACACCAGGAATATTTGGTAAAAAGCATTGCAACAGTGCCATAAGGTAGAGAGAGATATATGACCATCATTCAACATTCAGTAAACAATTGATCACATTTTGAAGGAAATTTAAAAATTAATCTTCATAATATGAGGCTTGTTTTAGGTTTTTAAAGTGGGAAAAGTTCTAGAATTAGATAAATTTCGTGTGTTTTATATTATTATCAGTTTGTTTTGAAAGATCCATAAACACCACCCAACTCGTGTAAAGTACCGATTTTGGTAGTCCTTTTGAATTACTTAATGTTAGTATTAAACTATATTTTTTTGAAATAATAATTTGAAAAATTTTTCATATATTTGTTTGAAGCCTAAAAGTCTTCTTTTTTATACCTGCCTATTATTTCATACGAAATGGAACAACAATTTCAATTTCGCACAAAATTCATCACTGGGACCAGTTTTATTTGCGTCTTTACCAGTACATATTTATGATTGTTTGAAAATATTGCTATGATACAGAAGTCCTTGTGAGTTACTTCTTCACTGGTCAATATAAATATTGATAGGTATTTTTAGAGGTTAGATCTTACAAAATATACCCAATGATACAATTTTTGATACAGTTGCTCACGAAACCATTTATATTATTGCTGTTTTCAAATCCCCCAACATTTATTTATTTTATCAAGTTAGCCAAGATGTAGCAATTTTTAATGTCTTTATAGAATTTACATATTTTATTTATAATATAAAAAAATATGAATAGAACTCATTGTGGTATATTATTTTTTACGAAAAACAAAAACCAACTATATGTATGGTACATTTTTGGATATAATTCGATTGTAGATCACTGTATACTATCCCTTGATTATGTACTTTTGTATTAAAAAATATCCATTGAAATGGAGTTTTATTTATTCATGTTCAATGATGATATAGAAGCTTATTTTCACATTCCCATTAGCTGTTCAGTAAAAACAAGCAAGGAAGTAATAGGACAGGAAAAGTGCTCAGAAAGGAAAACAATTGTAACAGCTGTGACAACTGATGACAGTGATGTGTATGTATTCTTTGTCCTTATGAGTAAGGAGAAAAAGAAAAGCAGTGAAGAAATAAAGCAGAAAATATAAGGACAATGTTTGTGACACTTCATTACATTGTGTACCCCTCAATTAAAATAACAAACTACCCATGGGCATTTTTAAATCTATTAAAAACCCTTAAATGATAGCTTATCAATTACTTTTAATTTCAAAATCTTGTCACACCTTTGAACTTGATTTAGCAGTTTCATCTAAATAGTACACTTTTTGCCCTTCATGACTATACTCTTAGATTTTTGGTAGTAATGGCTATATCACAAGATAATTTCATCTATTTCTATAAGAACACTGTTCTCTTCATATATTTGATGTTTATTTGCCCTAATGTTCACAATAAAACAAACATAAGATAAATTCTGATGAATCTCGTCAGGATTTATTTCAATTTTCTTTAGGTTGCGATTTCATTCTGAAAACGTGGAATTTCCTCTAAATAGCATATTTGATGTCATCTTCAAGTGTGATGCATTTTCTACTTCTAATTTCAATGAGGTTTTTTGACAATTTTGATTCTCGATTATACACAAGTTTTATATGACTACTGTACATTATTGTTCCATTTTTACCATAAAATTGTTCATGTTGATTGAAAACAACATAAAATTATGTAAAATTTACTATAGAAAATATAAATTATTACAGAACATTTTATAATCTACAATCTTTAAAAAAATCAGATTTACAGTGTATTATTTACATATTTCAATAAATGCATGTTCAACTGTATTACTTATATTAATTTACAAATAAAATAGAAACTGCCATAATTACACAAAGCCCAGATATCCATGGAGACTTTCTTTCGCCTACCCTTGCACATTTCCAAAAGAACTTCATGACCCTAAAAAGAAACAAGAGTAAAACAGAAATATTGATTCCCAGATAAAACATATTTTCACTGCAATTAATGACAGTAGCAGGAAAACATCTGGATAAAAAAGCAGTGCTATCATGAATTTTCAATTCCAGTATAGAAATTTAGTAGTAAAAATATCTGTATTTTTACTTAATAAATAAAAATGGAATTTTCGTTAGACTTAAACATATATAGAGTAAGTTAAATACATACCCTGTCCTATTTTTGTCAAGAATACTTGGGAAAAGAACTCTCAAATAGGTACACGTACACAGTAGTAAGAGTGCCACTATTAATAAACTTTGGAAGTTAAATATTGCAGACTGAAAAATAAGACATCATCGTTATCATTCTATCATAAGTAATACAATTTAATACCAACCATTTCCAATTATATTTTATATTAATTTCAAAACATTATCCGTAAATATAACCCTACTTTTCAACTGACACAAAAAATGACATGAATCATGTTGATGTTCTTTTAACTCTTCTATTTTTTTTAATGACACAATTTCACCATAGGCGTAACTATTAATATAGTTCATAAATCTTGATTGGAAAAACATTTTTATAAAAAGCACACAATAATATTCATTGCTTAATTAAAAGTGTCTATGAATACATAATTTTTGTTTAACTTTCAATTTTTCTAATTTGAAGTTATTTAAGATTTCATCTGTAACTGTCAGTAGACAATAACAATTACTAAAACAACAAATGAGATTGATTTATAATGGCAGAGGACATGATCCATACGACGATCCCAATCTAAAGGATTAAGCAGATATTTTAACAACAAAACTATCAAAGGTCGTGCAAATGTAAGTAACAAGATGGCAAAATTTACTTGGAATGAATATCTGAATTTTAGGTGTCTTTGGCTACGATTACGTTTCTATGTTGTGCGTACTTGTACAACAAATTTTTGAAGAAAAAAGCTCCCGAGTGATTTGATTTGTTTATGCTTAAACGGTTGTGTTGCTTGTTATATTATGTAAATTAAAATTAAATATTTTCATCTCTTACAATACAGTTGTTATTTTACGATAAAAGTAGGAAAGTATACTTATATATACTAATAGACTAATATAACTAAGAAAAAGCAGATTATGACGTTTAAATGTTATTTTGAAAATGACAATTATTTAAATTTCAAAAATGAAGGACTTTCAAAATCAATTTTACGAGTGTTACAAAGGAATCCAAAAGGTATTTAATAATGAAACTATTCGTGGTCGAGCTCACGTAAGTAGTTATATATTATATCAACAATCCACATATTATGCAATGAGTTTTCAGGTTTCAATAGCTACAATTTTGGTCATCATTGCAGTATGGGCCGGTTTAAAAAGATTAAGGAAAAAGGAGAGTTCAGCTTGATGTGATAATGTTGTTTATTTTAAATTTATAGTGATTATGTTCAGAGGAATGTTAGAAACAAAAAAAATCTAACCATCAGATACCCTAATATAAATATAACTGCATAAAACCACGTTTCGCTTGTGAAAAATTTTTGATATATTGAGGAATAACCCATAATGATTGTATTAAATTTTTACTACGACACTGAAGAGCAGCTTAGTGTGTTGTCAACTGTCACTTGTCACAGTCTCACTTCCATCTGCCCCAACTTCACGTCGCACCACCGCACTACTTGATTTTTTGGTTTAAGAACAGGCAAGGTAAGACAATTTTGCTAAATTAAAATAAAAAATATAACATTTTGTTACAATTTGCAGAAAATGGCTGGTGACTCAGTTGATGCTTCAAAATTAACCGGTATGAGCAAAATTTTCAATGGACAGACTATGAGAGGAAGGGCAAATGTAAGTAATAAAAATGGGTTATGTAATTTATATAACTCTGTAAATATTAAATTTATAAGTATACAATCAAAGAAATAATGATTTTGGAAGTTTTTTTTTTTGTTTAGTCTTGTATTATAAACATTTTTATAGTAAAACTGTTAACAAAGTTTAAAAAAACCTGGTAGGCTGTGATAATCAATTTTAGTAATTTTTGTTTTATATTTTTACTTTGTTGGCTGTAAATTAATAAAAAATGTAGTAAATAAGGGTTATGAAGATCAAAAAAGATCTAATTTACTTACCTAATAACAATTGAGCAATGTTATATTCAATTATATAGGAAAATCCTAAAAGAACAACCTTATTTTTGAATTAAATAGCATTTTGCAGGGTTATAAACAAAAATGACATTAAAGCAAATTTAAGTGCAAACGTCATTTGATTAAACCAAAATAGGCTTAACTTTTCAATGTATTTTATAAATACTTCACAGATCTAAATATTTGATTTTTATTTTCAGGTTGCCATAGCGACATATGCTGGTATTGGAGTTCTAATTGCCTATTTTTCACTGAAACCATCAAAACCCAAGCAACCAAAAGCCTAGTAGTCTATTCCTTAACGTTACTTACTCTTATTATGTACATGTTGAATAAAACTTAAAAATCTCAATGCTTTATAAGTTTTTTTAGAAACAATGTTTTTTGTAGACACATGTAAATGACTCAATAAAATTGGAGTTGTATACAAGGGCAAGATGAAAAGTTCTTTGCCTGGTAGTGAAAAATGAGTTTTTTATTCAAAACATGCCTTTACTTACAAAGCAATCTCCCTTTGGTGTTACATTCTTCAGCCCAATATTTTTCTAAGTAAATAGATTCCACCAGCAAAGGCTGTCTGTCTTCAGCTACTTTAGTTTATGACATTGAGTTAGAATCTATGAGCATATTAACCTGTGTATTAAAAACAGTGGCTAACGATCATACCAATATGGCGTTGGGATCAGGACCAGACTCAATAATATTAAAACTACTATATAAATATGACTAGTTATTCAGAAGATTTAATCATAGTAGTAAACACTAAAAACATGATATATTATACATAAAGATAAATTAATACAGTCAAATAACAAGTTATATCAAAGAGATAATATAAATAATATTTTAAAGAGTAAAATGAAGATACGGTATGAAATAACAGTACATTATCTTATAAGTTTATAAGATTTTTTATGATTACTATTAATTTATTCCTCTGAAGTACGGGATATTACTTTGTTTACATATTTATATACTAACCTGTGGAATGTTATTCCTGAAGATTTTTTATTAACATTGCTTCTGTTACTGTAACTTCGTTGAGTTGAGAACAAGAAACCATGATTATGCATTATCACAATATAATATTACAGTTTCTATAAAAGTATTATAAAACTAAAAATGTTCAAAAAACAACAAATGTAAACAATTATATATGATCTGTCAAAACGATCATACCAATATGGCCGAAGTTAGGCCGTTTTTAGTCACGTGATGCCCTCTACATAGATTCTAACTCGATGGTTTATGATCTGTCTTAGATTCAGCTATTATCAAAAAATCCTTGTACTATCATCTCTTTACTTGGCCCAAAATGTACTACAAGCACATATTATTTAAAATTTAGGAATTTTTGAAGATTTTAAATGTGGATAGACATTTGGTCTTGGTAAAGCTGTGTTCGAGTAATGGAAACATTTTAATTTTGAAGAAATCTAATGAATAAAGAGCACACCAGACGGCACTATTTTTTGTTTTCTGTAAAAATCTAGTTTTCTTTGCAAAATAATACTTGAAAGGAAGCGATTTTAAACATGGATTATAAAACAAATTATCAATAGAATGTTGAAAACCGCATGTAAATATTTTTTCCTGTCCCAAAATATCTAGCACACATGTAGTGGGGAACTTTTCTTCTAACTTGAATTAGACTAATTAGCCTAAAAATTAACAAATCACCTCACCTGAATGAACTCTATTACAATTCATATCCATATTTGAAGAATTTATTTTATTATATCCATATATACTACTAGTGACACATTTGCTTCAATCTTATTATGTGGGAGAAAGTTTTTAGTCTTCTCATTTGACCTTTAGGGCACAAATCATCAATTGTGAAAGATTTTCATGGTTATTGCCTTCAAAAAAGTCAGAAATCATCAGTTATTGAAAGAGTAGATTCTTAAAATGCCCATAAAAATGTGTGGCAGCCTTCAAGGATCTGCTGTGGTGATGAGACTGTTGAATACTTGGGATATTGAGGGAGAAGAATTGTGAAACTTTGTTATTTTAAGATCTAACTATACAAAAATAGCATTTTCTGTAACTAATAATAAAAAGAAACATATATATGATTATGATGATAGTGTGTTTGGCATGAAAACTAGTCCTTTTGCCACAGGCAAAAGGGTAAAATTAAAACTTGATTGTACCAAATTTATATTATGTATCTGGGTGCATATAAGTGACTACATATGAGTTTGTATATTGATTTCTGATTCAGTGACAGTAGGTGGGTTATATTTATTGGAAGTTGCACATTAATTTTAACCAGGTTTTCATAAAATGTAGATGAGAGTGCTTTATTTTTAATACATCCAAACAGGATGTGATTAACATCACTCTGGGAAATATTATTGCATAAACACTTTCCTGATTATATAATGTTTATTCTAGCCAGGTGAGCAGGAACAGCACCGTAACTAGTTTTTAATCTTGTGATAATGATTATTTGAAGTATTCGCCAATATTTTTCATCGGTCTTGCCAGTTAAATTTTTTTTTATTATAAAAATTGATTGAAGATCTGATACTGTGTAAATATGTTCTTGTATACCTAAATGAGTAGAATCCTTAGCGAGCTTGTATACTATTTCATTACCTTTTATCCCAGTGTGACTTTTTGCCCAAATAAATGTTACGTCTTTATCTCTCATTTTTTGTTTAATGTCACATATCAGCTCACATGTGTTATGATTAAACTCAGTATTATTAAGTCCACTAAGAACTGACTTAGAGTCTGAGATGATCACAGCATCTTGCAAATTTGTATGCTCTAACCAATCCAGAGCTTTCCTAATTGCTACTGCTTCTGCAGTGTAAATAGAGCAATATAAAGGAAGCTTTATTTTAAGTGATTCATTTTTGGAAGGCATGTACATTGCAAACCCTACCTTCCCATCGTTATGTTTAGAGCCACGTGTAAATTATAGTTTTATTAGTATATTCACTTAATATGGAGTTCAACAACGTGTTATTTATTTGATGTAAATCTGAATATTTCGGAAATATAATATTTGATTTTTGATTAAATTCTAATTTATAGAATGGTATAAAAAAATTTGTTGAAAGTGTAACCGGTAAATCATTGGTTTCCAGAAAGGCATCCCCTAATAGTGGTAAATTTTTTATTTTCCGATAATTGTTTACTAGATTTTGTATGGATAATTCATACAGCATACTTAGTAAGCCGCTTGTTCTAGCCCTTAATTTCAATACATATTTTGTTGCTAATAAATTTCTATGATTTTCTAATGGCATTTTATTCAGCAACTAACAGAGGGCATGGTGTTGATTTCATAGCAGAAGTTAATCTCAAACTTTAAAACTGAATATGATCGATTTTTAGTAAATGTGTATTGCTTGCTGATCCTTATAACACACATCCGTAATCCAAAATTGATTGCACGTAGGTCCTGTACAACATCAATGCAACTTTGGTAGCAGCACCTAATTTCCTGCAAGTGAGTAACACATTTAAGGAGATTGATGCCTTTCTCACATCTTTTTTTTTACATATATATGTTTGAACCATAGTAATTTGATGCCCAAGATATTTATACTCACTGACAACCGGTATATCATATCCTGACAGGTTTAGACTATCAGGCGTACATATCCTATGTCTTGTAAATATCATAATGGCAGATTTTTCTGGGGATATAGTCAGTTCAATGGTTTTTAGTACAATTATCGACTAGTTTCACGATATGTTCCAGAACCTGTACACAATCGTCATATCAATCACAGATGGAGTAACTACATATAGTGTAGGAAAAAGTTTATGGTTGGTATGGACCTTACGTGAGATGTAGTGAGAAACAGCTGTTTAGAAAGAGAGAGGTATATTAGGTCCGCCCTTAATATCGCCAAACATGCATGCCTGGAAAGGGGAAGTTCAACGTTGCCAAATTTATTGGATTTATTTGACCTGTTGTTTTTTTTGCATTTGAACAATGTTCTAAGATAATGCAATTTGGGCGAAATTGATTTAAATGGCAGCTTACTGTTTTTTTTATTGGGAATATGCCTCAAGTTTACTTTACAATAAGTGTAATATATAACATTTTGATTTCCACTTCGGAAATCGTTTTATATAAATAAAATTTATTAATGTTTCGTATTTTAAGTATGATTTCCGAATTAAAAATCTAAACATCAAAATAAGCTTATTTTGCTTGGCAACGTCGGTCTGGTCTGGTTTGGCCGACCGAGTAACGAGTAGTAGAGGTGGGTCGTGGTAGTTTTATCGTTAAGCGCGTAGGCACAAAATTTCGTTCCAATATTTTTTAAATGCATTAATTTTTTGCGAATTCTGAGAAAACTAATAAATATTTTTGAAAAATTTAAACGCAGAATGAAACAATACATTATTACCGAGGGCCGAAAGTCCCTGAAAACTCCTATAATGTTTATTTTAATAAGTTATAGGGGTGAAAAAAAATTAGTGTGATTTTTAATTTCAAATATCTCATTCAAAAACCTTTTTGTTTATTCTAAGGGACTTTCAGCCCTCGGTAATAATGTAATCTTTATTCTGCATTTAAATTTTTCAAAAATATTTGTTAGTTTTCTCAGGATTCCAAAAAAAATGAATGCATTTAAAAATTTAAATTTTTGTAAACAAGTAACTATGATTGTTTAAAAGTAGTTTTAAGTAAGAGAGTACCTACATAAACAAACATAATGGCTATTATCGTTTATGTGTATATTTATTGAAGTGAAAGAAACTAATGATTTATTTATTATAACTTGAAAAATAAACTAAACAATACAAATAGTAACTCCTACTTACATTTACATTACACGTTATTATTAAATCGCGAATAATCTAAATTGACATTCAAAAACGTAAGTTTTTCAACTTTACTTCTTATTAACCGTCTTCTTTTTTTCAAATTAAACCAGATTTTGAACATGTGTTCACATTTACAATACTAATAGTGTTAAGTTAGGATATACATGGCGATGGTTTTTCCACCGTTGTAATGGACTCTCGATTCAGGTGTACGTGTAGATGAGCCATCTCGAATTAATTGATCAAAAATACACCATGGATTTAAGTCATCTTTATTGGTTTCTTTTTCTTGTACTGTGTAATAACAATGTGCCACTCTGTTCTATCCCTTTAAATCTTTTTGCTAAACCCGATATTAGTAATTGTACCACGTCGGATACTATGGATGTAAGGTTTGCTAAACCTTATTGCTAAATTTACCGTTTGCTAAAATTTTATTGCAAGATTCTTGCAGGCAGCGTACCATAACAATCAGTGAGCTACCCTTCAAGTATTTTTAGTCACTCATTGTACTTGTGATTTCTTTAAACGGCCGTAAAATTTGGGAAAGCTGAGAACAAATAATCCAGTGTTATTTATTTAGATTTGGTCTAAGTCTGTATTATTTAATACCGATGTGGAACGGATTGCCTCTTCTAACTCGGTCATTTTTTTTAACATGTAGTAGGTGAAGTTCTACCTAGTTTCCACGTCTTGGATTTGCCGTTTGGGAACTTTGTTATGTTGTAATTAATACTTTAAAAGCCTTTCTGAAGATAAGGTACTTTTTTTAAATGTGTTTTTTGCAGAATTGTCGAAAATAGGACTTTTTATTTTATCTATTATCAAATCAGTTTTGACATAACATTCCTGAAGTAATGAATCTGACAGTTTTTCTTGTTGGCACTTTATATCCAGGAATCCACCCTGCAAACTTTTTAAAAGCTGGTTCTTCACCTATGGAAAACGGATGAAACGAGTCTTTGCATAAGTTTAGTAAATCTTGAAAATCAACCAGTACAAGAAAATCCTAATGTATGTATGTATATCCTAACTTAACCACTATATTCATAAAATATTGTAGTATTGTAACAAAATCTTTTCCTTGTGAACACATGTTTAAAATCTGGTTTAATTTTAAATAAAAGAAGAACACGGTTAACAAGAAAAGTGAAAAAACTTGTTTTTAAATGTCAATTTAGACGATTCGCGATTTAATAATGTGTAATGTAAATGTAAGTACTATTTGTATTGTTTAATTTATTTTTCAAGTTATAAGAAATATATCCTTCGTTAGGTTCTTTCACTTCAATACTTATACACATAAATGATAATAGCCAATATGTTTGTGTACTCGCTAATTTGAATACTGGTAAACAATCAACTAGTTACAGTTTACGAAAAACGGTTCCGATAAAAATTTAAAAAACGAGAGGATCCACCTCTAGTTTTTTAGGTATATTAGGATCGGAACCAAAGAATATGTAAAATATCTCTGATCGGAACTATTCGTCTCACGAATGAGCAATGAGTGTTAAAAATATTTACGGAGGGGAGACCAGGGGAAATATAATTGTTATCTTTGTCTATTCGCTGAAAATATGATTTTATATCTGCGTTAGGTATCCTGTTGAAGTTTACCATACCGACCATAAACTTTTACCTACACTGTATATCATCGGCATACTGAATACATTTTATGGAATCAACAAAAATGCCGTGTATACTTGCTGAAAATATGTTAAGAGAATTGGGCTTAATACAGACCTCTGTGGTAATCCTGTATGAGATAAAAGAAACATAAAGGATACAAAAGGACTAGGTAGAACAAGAAACAAAACTTGGTGATGCACCAGAATGGCAGCAAAGATCCTTTTCATCGCTGTTTCAGCATAACTACTGCCAATTTGCCCAGTCTTTCATTCCTGTCAAAACCTACAAGAAAATATACACAAAAATCTTTATCTATATCAATTTATTAGATGATGACTAGTACAATAATTACATATATAAAATGAAATACATTTATAACGGAAAAAGTAATGCAGATAACTATAGTAGGTATGTGCAGCGATCCAAAATGTGGGATCTACAGCAAATTCGTGAATGTAGCAAAATATGCAATCGCTTTATTGATTTAGTGAGTAAAAAATATCAATTGACAATGATTAAATTCGAGGGGAATGTCAACATAATCTATAGAGATTCAATAACAGTAAAAATAATTTATATATAATACAATAGAGGTCAAATTTATAAATAATATGTATCTTTAGGAAATAATACTTTATTTTAAAACAAATAAAGACGGTTCTGCGAACATAAACGATTAAAAACTGAAAAGCTTCGTTTGCGCAGTGACCGATGACGTATGACAAGTGGCGCAGGTGCTGATTAGTGACGTTTACAACGTCGAAACTCATATAAAACCAAAAACAACATTGATTTGTCTCGAAACGCAAGCAGATAAACATAAAATACATTTATTATCAATAAAATTGGACGGTAAATACAATTCAGTGACTGCTGTCCATCTCTGGGTCACTTTCCGCATCCGAACTTGAACTCACAGCCAAGTCGCCTGTCATCGCAACGCGTGCGTACTCGTCCTTGTCGATTGACTTGCAGAAGTGGATAGCGTACTTTAATTTTTGATGCAAAATAGGCTAAAACAGAAGCATAGTTAGACGTTAGAATTTGTCATATAGTACTGAATTAAACGTTACCTTGCACGAATATCTAGGCATTTTAAGCAAAAAGAAGCATGTGTAACTTTCGGGTAGGAAGTTGTCGGGAGGCGTATACTTGTCGAGGATTTGTATCACGAAATCTCTGCCTCTGAAATCTGCGATTGTTCTAGGAAGACGCGTTCTACCCCAAACGAAGCGTAAAAATAGAGATCGTTCCTGGTTCGTGAATTCTTCCATCACTTCCCAGAACCACTGGATTAGCGGAGCGCTGCTGTCGATTCCTAAAATAAAAAAAATATATTTTTTAAATAAATCAATAAAAAAATGACTTAGGCAGGACAGAATCGAGCCAGTGAGATTCGGATTACAACACTAATGAGAATGGCATGATTGTCATTTCATATAGTCTGTCCGCTGGTCACTTGCACATGTCATTATAGTAAGGAACAGAAAATATGTTATTTTTATAGAAACTCTCTCTCTCTTCAATCCTGACCCCCCAGGGGAGTGTAGTGGTCGACGTGATGTCGTGTATTGTCCGTCTAAAGAGATCTCTGTCTCTGGTCATTTCTTTTAATTCATGCATAGGTTTTTGGCATATTCCTGTAATTTGATCTATCCATCTTGTTGGGGATCTTCCTCGTGATCTTCGGCCTTCTACCTTTCCTTGTATTATGAGTCTTTCCATTTTTTCTGTGTTTGCTCTCATAACATGCCCAAAATATTTAATTGCTGGAGATGGACTTTACTAGAGAGTCGTTGGCTAACTTTAGCTCGCTTAAAATTGAATTATTTGTTCTGCGGTCGGTCCAAGGAATTCATAACATTCGTCTCCAACAGAACATTTCAGTGGCGTCTATCTTTCTTCTCTCCGATTGTCTCAGAGTCCAAGATTCACATCCGTAGGTCAGTATTGGGAATATTAAGCAGTTGATCAACCTCATCTTTATCGCTCTTGAAATTTGACAGTCCTTGCATATTTTGGACATTTTTGCTGTGGCAACTTTTGCTAGATCACATCTACGTTTAATCTCTTCTTGTAATGACCCTGTGTTTGTGATTAATGATCCCAGATATAAGTATGAGCTCACAACCTCGAACCGGTCAATTGTGGTTATGTGTGGATGATTGTTGTGTAGTCTCATCCACTATCATGATCTTTGTCTTTGATATGTTTAATTGCAGACCAAATATTTGACTTTCGTTTTCGATCAGTCGTATAAGTTCTATCAGCTCTGCTTGACTATTTGCAAGAAGGGCTGTGTCATCTGCGAAACGTAGGTTGTTTAGTTTATGACCATTTATTGAGATGCCCTTTTCCCATCCTTCAAGTGCTCTTCGCATAATATACTCCCCATATATGTGGAGTTGGAATTGTGGAGATAGTATACATCCTTGTCTGACACCCCGATCTGGATAAAATTCGTTCGAAAGTGTGTCAAGTACTTTAACTGATCCAGTAGTGTGTTCATATAGTTCGCTTATAAGCGTAATTAGATGTTGTGGTACGCCTACTTCTTTTAGTATTCGCCATAAGTGTCTCCACTTGACCCTGTCGAACGCTTTACGGTAATCTATAAAACAGATGTATAGTGGGATGTTGAATTCCCTAGATTTCTCGATTATCTGTCTTATATTCAGCAGGTGTTCTCGAGTGCCTCTACCTTTGGTAAATCCAGTTTGCTCTTGTGGAATTTCTCTTTGAAGGAATGTTTCAGTCTCTCATTGATTATATGTAGCATTATTTTGCTGGCATGGATATAAGAGAGATAGTTCTATAATTGTCGCATTTATGGAAGCTGCCTTTTTTATGTATGGTCGTTATTGTAGATTTTGTCCAGTCTTCAGGCCTTTATAGAAACACTCGCTCTTAAATATTTCAAAAAATTGCTTATTTTCTGAAGAGAACGGTAAAAAGCCTTTATGTCTTTGAAAGATGAAATTTTCGCAAGGCAGTCCAATAGATTAGTAAAAGATACATGGTGGAAATAAATCTACTTAATTGAAATATTACAAAGGAGAAGTTGACAAATATAAACGTTTTTATTATAACCATAATGTCTGGTTACATATGAACTACTTTTTGAGATACTTGTCATGTACAGCTATTGCCAACCCTTATCACTAAACAGATCCAATATAGAGTTGCAATACCAACAATCTGAGGCTTTCTTGGAGAGGGCAAAATCACACATACGATTATTCATGTATTTATTTATGAACGGTATCCATTTACAAAAGTTATACAAAGCTACACCTTAAAAACAATAAATTTTTAAAATATCAAATATCTCAGAAAAATAAACTATAATACAGCTGTCAAGGGTAGACTAGTATTGACATGTAAAAGAGATCACTTACTGTAAGATACCTGTTTGTTGTTTTTTTCAGTTGTTTTTTAAATAAACTAATTTTTTGAGTCAAAAATATTTACGAAGAAGTTGCGTTTCGATTTAATTTGAGTCTCTTACTACTCCCTTACACGTGTTTCTGGGTCTACCCGTCTTCTTACAAACTCTTTCTGTTGACGGATAGACCCAGAAACACGTATTAGTTGCTAATAGGATAACTTTATGAGCTTGGAAGCTGATAGCTAAGAACAGAAAACGATGGAAATTATCCATCCAGCAATGAGTTAACGCTTTACATACATACATCATCTACAAAATAAAATCATATTAAAAAGATTCGATTTTTGATTAAAAAAGTTCACCATTCACTGGAACCTTCAATACATAGATTAAAGTGTATATTTCTTCGTAGTATTTCCATATTTTATCACCCATCGATGATAAAGTAACGTCTTCAAATAAATGACAACTTTTATAAAAGTTATAAAAAGCAAATAATCGCTATTTTTGCATATTAAAATATTTACATACAACTCACCTTTATAAGTAGCTACTGACTTAAGAAGTGTTAACGGTATATCAGGTGATCCGCAGACCATGGTTTCCAGTTCGTATCCACTAAAAAGTGACAGCAATGGAACGGGAACCACTCTCGACATACCGTCCCTCACAGCTTTTACTTGTTCGTCAAATTCGTGCAATCTTAAAGAAGTACGATTAGAACTAATCTTGTTTGGGATAGAATACAAACTTACCTGAAATTTAAGGCAAGCCTGACGTACTCCAGTCGATTTTCGAATGTTATCCTCTTGTATCTGTGAAAAAAGAACGAAGTAACGTTATTCTTGATGAAAGAAGTTTTTTTGTGATTTGCGGAACTAAAGAATAGAAATATGCTTTATTGTCACTGAAAATTGTACAATTTGATGGAGAAAGCTTACAAAAAGTAAAAAAAAATACCAATAACAATTTAAAATTCAAAATTCCGTAGAAATTTAGTTTTTTATCAAAATATCGTGATTTACACAATCAAAAGCTTTGGCATAGTCACAAAAAACAATGGCAATGTAAATATTATTATTTAATGCTTGATAAACCTCAAGTAGTACAGAAAACATAGCATAAATGTACCAGTAGTACTGGTACATTTATTAGATTTTGGAATGAAGATGGAGGCAGAGAGCCGGGGTAACCAAAAATTGTTTTACAAGGCACTAAAGACGCTAAGAAAAGGTAAAGAAACAACGATGAAACAGATAAAACGTAAAGACAGCACACTGATTACCAGACCAAATGAGATTATGGAAAGATGGAGACAATACTTCAGCGAACTCCTAACACCAAGACAGCCGAAAGAGGAAACTGTAATGATAGAAGTAGGAGGAGAACATGGACAAGAAAATTATATTCAAATAGAAGAAGTTAAAGAAGCAATTAACAACACAAAGAGAGGTAAATCGGCTGGTCGTGACAAAATCACTGCAGAAATGTTAAAGACAATGGGACCGGAAGGAGTTGAATTTTTAACCAAAATTATGAACATGGCTTGGAACCGATGTACAGTCCCTGAAGATTGGAGAATTGGCATAATACTACCAATCTTTAAGAAAGGAGACCCAAGTTCTTGTGAAAATTATAGACGAATTAATATAGTCTTAGTATAGTCTCCAAAATATATGAAAGCATCCTAGAAAAGAAATTAAGACACATCGTTGAACCACATCTGGATGAAGTACAAAGTGGGTTTAGGAAGGGACACAGTACGCAAGACCATATATTTACGTTGAAACAAATAATTGAGAAAGCTAGAATAAAGAACACAGAAATATATATTGAGAAAGCATTTGACAGTGTCCCAGGAAGCAGTCTGGAAAAGTCTGCAAAATAGAAATATTGACCATCAACTAACAGGTGCTATCAAAAGTCTGTATCAAAATAACAAGAGTTATGTACGTAAGGATAACTTGGAATCAGAGATGTTTGCAATAAACGAGGATCTAAGACAAGGAGGTGTTATGAGCCCCACACTATTCATATTGATTATTGACGACATAATGAAGGAAACAAAAGCAAGTATACACAAAGTACATATTGGATATAGTAAACTACGACCGGTTGGTATAGCTGAGTGTGCATTCGCAGATGATCTCATGTTATGCGCTTCCAACGAAAGGGACCTCCAGAAAAATATAGATAGCTGGAATAATGAGCTGGCAATCAGAAACATGAAGATTAATGTTAAGAAAACCAAGGTGATGCTAATAGCGAAAACTAACCGAAATGTTAACATAGAAATTAACCAACAACTCATAGAACAAGTAGATGCATTCAAATACCTAGGGGTTACAATAGACAGAGAAGGTACCATGCAGAATGAAATAACAGAAAGAATAAGTAGTGCTTCAAAAGTGTACCATAGTCTTAGTAGAGCAGTCATAGGTAAACCGGAAATCAGCAGAAGAACCAAAATGACAGTTTATAAGACAGTATTCCGACCAATCTTGATATATGGAAGCGAGAGCTGGGTTTTAACAAAGCAATTAAAAAACAAGATACAAGCCATTGATATGAAATATCTAAGACGAGTCCTTAACGAGTTCCCCAACAGCATCTAACCAACTCTACCAGCAAATTATTCATTGCAACAAACACGCATTTTCTACTTCTCACCCTTTTCAACCCTATCAGGACAGGTGTACTTCTCCTATACTTATATTTCTTGCACAGCATCCCCAGAGGCTACTTCTACGGCCTCAACGCCACATACCTAGCCATCCAACTGGCCGCCATCTTGGATCTGAAATTCCCATATCTCTTCTACTATCGTTATAAGGTTTTATTTTCAACATGGAAACAATATTGAAGGGTAATCCGGACCTGTAACGGCTTCTCGAAATTAGAATGGACGAAGTCACCAAGAGACGAAAAGATTCGATGTTTTACCGGAGCCCTCTGGCTATATACTTTAGTATTACAATTAGTCTCTTTTATTTAATTAAAAAACAAATGTATAAATAAATAAAATCTGTAAATAAATAATTAAAACATATACAAACATATATTAAAATGGTGGTGTGATCAAATCAGAGTGTAAAAATATTCTGTTGATCGGCAAATATTTTACTCTCTTAAAAAGATTTTTGAGAATGGAAGATGCTGGAGAGCTCCAATAAATAATATTCAAAGATACGTAATTGGAGAAAAACAAAGTCAACTTGAACAAATATGAAATTTTGTGGAAGAAAACCCATAAAAAACGTTTCTCACACTGCAAGTTAGAAATCTTTTCATTTTTATATCTTTTAACCTTAATACTACTGAAATATTCTATATAATATAGCTCACATTTAGTGTAGTTTAACCAGACTATCACTTACCTAGTACTCAAATGTACATCAGTTCCACACGAAGACGGAGTCGAAAACGGCATCTCCAAGTTTTGAAACAGGGGCTCCTCCGGAGCCATATCCCTAATACATAACAATCCTGGTACATAGTCTCTATCTATTTCAGTCAAGTCAGCGGGCGTCAATTCTATTCCCGCTAATTGTTTCCAAACTGGTTCGGCTAGGTTTAAGCTCAAAGGTGATCCCGTTCTTATTGCGATGCCCATTAGAACGCCAAGAAACCTGAAATCATGTCCGCATTTGTTTATTTAAGCGATAAATATTAGACTCTCTTATATGATACAAAGATTCTTCATTTGAAAATACCTTTATCTTTTAAAAACCTATTTTTGTTCTACTACCATATAATATTATTATTATATTATAAATAAGGGCAGATGAGCTCGCTCCTATTATGCCCAAAACCAAAAAAAAAAAAATAAAAAAATCATCAAGGGAACCAGTAAGTTTATATCTTCGCCAAAGCTTTCGCTTATGTCGAATTAAATGGATAGCTGAGAGGTTAACAAGGTTTTAGTCGATTTCTGTATAGCTGCCGTTCGGTTGTATGATCAGAAATTGTTGTAATAGCAGTATGAAGAAAAGAGTCACACATTGACGATGGATCAGAGTGATATGTGTTTTAAAATCTTCAAAACCAAAAATCCTGATGAATCTCCAAAGTTGCCTTGCCTAAAGCCTTTCTTAAACGAGAGAAGGATCCACAGAATATTAGTTGCTACAGAAAGCCTTTATCCTATGTAACGAGAAACTAATTATCATCAGCATAGATATAGCTGATGAAAGTATTCAACCAGTTCATTCTACCAGTTATCACATATGGCTCACAAACATGGACTTTCGCAAAGGAGAACATCGACAGGATATCCAAAACACAAAGAGCAATGGAAAGACAGATGCTGGGTATTGGTCTTAAAGACCAATACCCAGGAAAAGAAACTCATGGATCAGAGAAACAACAAAGGTGAACGATGTATCAAGACAGGTTGCAAAACTTAAATGGAACTTCGCCGGTCACACTCTCCAACAAAAAGATGAAAGATGGAATAAGCGAATTCTACACTGGAGACCATGGGAAAAGAAAAGAAAAAGAGGAAGACCACAGATGAGATGGACTGACGATCTTAAGAGAATGGCAGGAAAGGACTGGATGCAGATCGCCCAAAATAGAGACCAATGGATATTAACAGGGGAGGCCTATGCCCAAGAGTGGGCGTTTAAGGCTGATTAGATAGATAGATAGATATAGCACCCTATAACAAGGACGATTGAGGCTTGGTAGGTTCTGTAATTATACCATATAAATTCTGCTTCATTTCACGTGTTCAATCACATAAAAAAGGTCCATTCTGATCACTTACGTCTGAACGGCTTGATGAATAGCATGTGTTGGAATTGACAGAGGACGAGGGATAAAATAAATCACATTTTCACGTCGAACGTTACATTTCACGTAAAATATCACGTTCCACAAAAGGTGTTACGTAAAAATGTCAATTCCACGACAAGCTTCACGTAAAATTTCACATTCCAGGTTACGTTTCATATAAAAAGTCATGTTCCATGTCAAATTTCCATGTTGAATATCATGTTTCACATTCCACGTGAAATTTCTAATTTTACATTTTCTCTAATTTCAAATTTTTTCGAACGTCGTTTCAAGTAACGTGACGTTTCATGTACAATTTCACGTTATGCGTCAGACTCCCTCGTTTCTCGTCATGTTTCACGTAAAACGAGACGTTTCTCGTCATATTTCTACATCGAACGCTACTTTATTATTAAATATTTTTCAAAATTTTCAACTAGCTACTTTTTTTCATGGATAATTTTACAATATGCGTTCAAGAAAAACGAAGTTCTTCACTGACATTGTTATCTGCGGTAACTAGTGAACCTAGATATATAAAAATTTTCACACTTTCGATGTTATAGTCTCCTATTGTCAGATTCTGTAGGTTTCTTTGGCCTGTCGATTTACTGACCTTCATGTATTTGGTTTTTATTTCGTTAATGTTTAGGCCACTGTTTTGTGCCGCTTTTTCTATCGTATTAAATGTTTCTATCATCTCTCTTTCGCTTCTAGCTATAATATCAACATCATCTTTTTTTATCATCAAAAAATTTTTAAAATTTTTGTCTTTCAAAATTAACGGCATATATCCCAGGAGGGGCATCAGCAATAGCGAGTTGTGTAGCGGTTTGGACGTAGTATCATTAGAATCTAGACGAATTAATGCCTCCCTAAAATTCCTGTACAAGTTACTACATAATCTCATTGACTGCCCTGATATTCTTCGACAAATAAATTTTAACGTTCCATATCCAGTGAGAAATTCGATTACGTTTAGAAATAAACAAGCTAGAACTAATCTTAGTTAAATTCTCCTCTATTTCTAATGTGCAACTATTATAATTCCTTGTGCTTACTGCGATATATTTCAGTGCAGTTTAAAGCAGCTTACTAGGATGGCTGAGATCTACCTAGGTGATTAAGTAGTTTCTTTATGTTAAGGTAAAATACTCGAAAAATGTGTTATTTAGTTAGTACCTATGAATTATTAATATTTCATTTAACTTTAGTATTGTATTTTGTCCTATAAATGAATTCTGTTGGACAATAAACGCTATTATTATTATTATTATTATCATCTGCAAATGCCAATATTTGTACACTTTTTGTTATTATTGTTCCTCTGGTGTTGACTTTTGACTCTCTAATATTTTCTCTAATGTGATATTGAATAGAATACAGAATAGGGCATCTCTCTGTCGTAAGGCCATTCTCACATGGATTGTATCTGTTAGTGCGTTTTGAATTCGAATTTTGCTTTGTACTTTAAGTGTTTCTTTTACTGCGTATTATCAATGCTTTAAAATAATCGCAGATAAGCGCATTTTAAAGCTGAAACACTACAGAAACGCCCAAAATAGGTTTTATTCACGCTTTTGCGATTTAGGGCACAAGTGTTTTCAAACAAAACAGCTATAACTGCCAAGAGAGTATTCAACTTATGTAACTTAATATTTGACCCACTTAACTCTTTAGTTTAAGTAAAAATTTCTTATTATGGAAAAAATTTTTGAGATTGTTGTTACTTAGTAAGAAATATGTTTTTTTTTATTAAGAAAAGATAGGCAAAAATGAACTTACCTGAACATGTTGAGGTTCAGACAAGTTTTGGCTAGTGGGTTTAAAATAAAGCAATCTCTGTTGGCGCCAGCTTCGTCTCTGCCATTCGGAGTGGGGATGAGTAGGGGCAAGGAGCCGTTTTGTAGTTCATCGCACATTTCTGCGATGCTTTCGCTGTAGCCACCACCACAATCATCGACACTCTCACCTAGAATAAAAGGTAGCATTGTATATAAACGTACCTCCTTACCAGTCAGTCTAGGCTTTTATTATTATTCAAACAGTACCAACAGTACCAAGTTATCGTAACGTTCATTTTACAAAGGTCTATTAATAAAATAATAATAGTTTGTACTCATAAATTTAATAAAATATAAAACAAAAATACCTGAAATACTTGAAAACACGCGAAAAGCTACTATTTTTGTACTAATATCGAGGAAACTAGTGTAAAGATGTTGTAAGAACACTCTATAGGTGAATAAAGTCTGTAAGCGGAATAAGACAATTAGAACTTTATTATTGGGAGTAACTCAAGGTTTCAACGATCTCTAGAAATGTATTACTCACCTACGAATTCGACTTTCCATATTCTATGAGGCAACGCCAACGTTTCGGATGTTAAGAGTGGCAATTTGGTCACCATCTGGCCAAACACCGACTTCATTCCGTCTACACCGGCCAATCCACCACGTGATCTAGATCTCTTAACCTAAAAAATATTAATGCAACTTTTAGGACATATTCAGAGCCAAGAAATAAGCGTGAAATATTTGAACGTTTTTTTCGAGGCGCATTAAATGGAAAAAGGAGGTAAAATAGCGGTAGAGAGTAAAAGGCGGGTCGAATCTCGCGTTCATATACAATAATTAGAATATTTTCACTTGTAATAGTTCAGGAGCGGTTTTCTTGTCGGTGATTTGATTATAACAAAGAATTTTATAATAAACTTTTTACTGTTCCTTTAAATTAGGCCAATGGATACTATTTCGTTGTACATATTTTAGAAGTTTGTATACGTGTCTCAAGTATTCTTTTTTCAAAGCGGCCTAACAGTTCTTCGTCGCTTTTTACCATAGTCCATGCAGTGTTGCCAGATGAAAATTTCTCATAACAGTAGAATAGGACATAAAAAACAGTAGATAACAGGAGATGGTTAAGTTTACCGAAAGTACAAGCTGAATATAGCTGCAAATGTCAACCATAAAATAAAATATGTGGTTTGACAGGTGTTGGGATGTTTTTATAATTCATATTTTGTATGTTTCAAATATAAAGAGAGAAAGCTTTTATTTTGATTACCTATATTATTTTATGAATTCAGCAATTTTTATTTTCTATGAAATAATAACGAGTAAATATTTGTGTCTTTTCAGATTGCCAAATCTATCCCCTAATCTGTCAAAGGGTAATTGCTAAAAAATTCTAATAATTAACTGCAATGAATCTCCAAAGAAAAAAATATTTACTTATTCTTGTTTTATATAAATAAAAAATTGCAGAATTCATAATACAATATAATCAAAATGTATTTTTCTAAAACTTTATCACTTTATATTTGAAGCATGCAACACATACATCACAAAAACATGCCAATACTGCTTAAACCGAATTGCTTGTTACATGTTTGACATTTGCGGCTATCATCAGCTTGTACTTTCGGTAAACTCAATGACGTATAATATATAGACTACGCAGTCCCCTATTCTCGCTATAGAATCAAGTGTCCGAAAGATCTCGGCTCAAGGTTGAAGGTAGGGAAAGGCACCGAATTTGAGACAGGCGCCTAATTTGAGACACCGTCGTATATTTGTGTACGATAGTGTGACATCTAGTTAAAATATTAAAAACTGATCATTCTGTGAAGTAATGGTAGATCTGCTTTTAGTTGACGCTTAGAAGTGACCTTTGTTGTTTTGTCGACGGTAATTTGATTTACACATTACACAAATTTTTTTCGGAATTTTTAAAAACTTACAATACATCAAGGTAAGATGATTACATTTACTCCAATTATTTTTTTTTGTTAGTTTAATATTAGTTAATACATTTTATGCAAATTAAACGATAATTGTGTGTCATACATAACCAAAAAATATGCGTTTTATTTTTAACGGAAAAATCCTAATTTGAGATACCTGTAGGTTCCAAATTTGAGAGTGTCTCAAATTAGGACCCCTTGTAAATTTTTTATTTTTATGTGTTTTGTTGTTTGTAGATGCCGCCAAAAAATAAAAAATGGAACGCAGATAATATGATACGTGCTGTAAATACAGTAAGAAATAGAGAGATGGGCTATTTGAAGGCCTCAAAAGTTTTTGGAGTACCAAAAGGTACCTTAGAACGATATGTGAAATCAGACAAGACTCCAGAAGAACTTGTCGGGATATCAATTGGGCGCCGACCTATTCTTCCTTTGGAATTAGAAAATGAGTTGGTTGAGTATGCCCTAATTATGGAGCAACGTTATTTCGGACTAAGAGCGCGTGATATAAAACGACTGGCATTTCAACTTGCAATACGAAACTCAATAGCACATCCATTTAGCGGAGTCAAAAAAACAGCCGGAAAGAAATGGTTAAGGCTCTTTCTGAAAAGACATCCGGCGCTTTCAATGCGTACTCCTCAGGGAATGTCATGTGCACGAGTAAAATCTTTTACTCCTGAAAATGTATCCAAGTTCTTTGACCTGTATGAACCAGAATATCTTAAGCTTACTAACCCTGCACAACGTATATTCAATGTAGACGAAACGGGCCTTACAATTGTTCAGCACAAACATAGTAAAGTAATTTCCATGAGAGGGAAGAAGCAGGTTTCGTCACTTACTTCAGCAGAAAGGGGCAAGCTGATTACTGCTATTACATGTATGAATGCTGCAGGAGTTTTCGTACCACCATTATTAATCTTCCCCAGAAAAAATATGAAATCAGAGTTGATGCTAGGAGCTCCCATTGGAGCAATCGCAGAATGCCATGTGTCAGGTTGGGTACAGGCCGATATTTTCACTAGATGGCTTCAACACTTCATAAAATTCACTAAACCTTCAGCTGCAGACCCTGTTCTTCTCGTCCTTGATGGTCACTATTCTCATACGAGAAACGTTGCTCTAATAGATTTGGCCAAACAGAATCATGTGACGATTATTTGCCTCCCACCACATTCTACACATAAAATGCAACCGTTGGATGTTGCTTTTATGGCACCGCTGAAAACTTACTATGCACAAGCAATAGAAAACTGGCTTAGAGAAAATCAGTTGAGTGTTGTGTCGCCTTACGCCGTTGCCAGTATTTTTTGTAAAGCGTATAACAAAGCTGCGACGATGGAAATATCTTGCAATGGTTTCCGCAAAACTGGACTGGTCCCTATTTGTCGCCATATTTTTAGGGACTTTGAATTTGGAATTCAAGAGCACTTAGAAACACAAAACGAAAAGGATGAACAAATAATAGAAATAAACCATGAACAAGCAAATCATCCAATACAAGAACATAGAACTCCTAGTCCACCACTACCTCATCAACAACTTGTTTCTCCGAAAGACATCTGTCCAATTCCTAGATTCTACGAGAAAGATACAACTAAAAAACCACATGCCAGATCAGGAAAGGCTTCAATAATTACTTTAACACCCTACAAAGAAGAATTAGAGCAAAGTTTGCAGAAGAAAAAAGCAAAAAAACTAGTACCCCAGCTAAACTTGGATTGTGTATTTGCTCCAGAAAAAAACAGTTCAACAAAAGGTGTTAGATCAAAAAAAACAGCAATGCCCGAAGAAGAAATAGCAGATGAAGACGTAGATCAACCTTCTACATCAAAAGGCAAAACATCAAGAAGGAAGCGGAAAGTTTCTTCGAGTTCAAGCTCAGATAGCAGTGAAAACTTTCCATTAGCTGATTCATCGTCCAACGAAAGTGAAGAAAACGACGCGGAATGTTTATTTTGCACCGGCAAATTTTCCGACGATAGATATGGCGAACGATGGGCAAAGTGTTACCAATGTGGCAGGTGGGCACATGAAGACTGTGGAGAAATAAAGTCCAGCACATTTATTTGCCTTTTCTGCGAAGGAAAGGGCTTTTTTGAATAGTATCTCAAATTAAGGTACCTGTCTCAAGTTTAGATACCTGACTATCCCAAATTAGGGCACCTTTTATTTTTAATATTAAATGTCGCAAAAAAATTAAATGTATTTTTTTGCAAAAATATATGTTTTATTCGCTTTTTTTTTGTTTTGTTGTGTTCTAGAAACATTAAGTTTAAGTTTTCGAAATGAATGTTTTAAAAATTTTAAATATTCTGTTTTATATTTGTTTTTCAAAAAAAGTGTCTCAAATTTGGTGCCTTTCCTCTATGTTTATCACAACAGCGGCGTGCTCATTTATATGTTAATGACAATAATTATTTTTTTAATTAAAATTAAATATTTATGATTTCTTTTTGTTCCCGTCTATAAGAGAAATAATTATTTTGATAAAATAGTATGGCATTTTACTAAAATAGTAAGTAAATAACTCTCAACAATTTAAAATAAAATTTGCTTGTCACACAAAATGGAGAAAAATGTTTTCATACGTCCATGATGTTTTCAAACACAAGATCAACTTCGTGATGCTTCGTAAGAAATCATGAACTTCGTGCATCTTCGTATCAAAACAATAAACAATAACAAAGGTATTCATGTTTTGGACACTTTTTAAAGCGTTCACCGAGTCTATATATTATACGTCATTGGTAAACTCAACCATTGGGCGTTGATTGCGCTTTTTCTACACAGATGGAGATAGCAGTAACTAACAGAAGTGAAGCAAGAAACAAGTTGTATTTAAATTTAGGTTTCACAAAATTTGATTTTTAAACTTATCTGAAACGCTATCTCATATGAAATAATCTCAAATTGTACCAAATATTGTATCAAATGCAATAACAACATACCATATTATAATGGAAATTTTAACAGGAGATTTGAGATTCAAAACAGGAGAACAGGAGAAGTATAAAAACAGTAGATCTCCTGTTAAAACAGGAGATCTGGTAACAATGAGTCCATGTCTCTTACGCGCATGTCGGGACAGGTTTAATAAGAGTTTCATATAACAGTATCTTGTCTTTCATATAATAGCTGCTCGATCTTTTATAGGCGTCAACATGGTATTATATCAAGAAAAATATAATCGCAATTTTATTGAAAATTTTATTGCTTAAGTTTACTACTCCAAAAAATAATAATTTTAATAGAATAGATTAGAAAATGGTACGCCACTGATACAGATATAATTAAAACTTCAAATGACATTTGAGGGATTGGCATAAATGATTACAGTGTTGTCGACAATTTATAATCTTAAGTAAGAATTTTGTGTGTTTGTTTTGATTTGTTTATACAATTTAATTTGCAATATATTATTATTTTATTATTTATTATTATATATTTTAAAATTTTGAAAATCTGATTATTTTCTTCATTTTAAAAACTCAATTAACACGTTGCCTGCCTTAGAGGAATTTGTAATACTTTCCGTTCACGCCAATGCAATTTCTGCTATATGGTCGAAAAAATTACCGCTCACGCCACGGTGCGCAGAGGTACCTGGCACCTCGCTGGCGTGCAGAGCAATTTTTTTCTCGGTCACATAGACCGAGACGGCAGGCAACGTGTTAACTAGTTTTTTCTTAAATAGTTGATATTTTGAAAATTCCCGAAAATGTGTTCTGACGTTGTAAATCTTGAATGACGTAACATTATTTTCGTTTAAAAAAAGATATATCACACATTTTACTTACCTGTATCCTATTAAGCTCGATCACAGGTCCGTGATGTTTGTCCCTAACCATCGTAGCTTGCACGACTTTCCTAAACGTAGCCTCTTTAATGGAATAAATCAAGATGTTTCGTAACTCGTGCAGCGAGTCCGGTCCGGTGATAGGGAACATAGTGATGCAAGGGCAGATCAATTCGGCGAAATGGTGTAAAAGAACTAATCGGCAATGTAGAACCATGGAAGCGATATCTTGAAGAAGGTCGTATTCCAGTGGAGCTATTAACGGCAGTCGGGCGCAGGCGCTGCTTGCGTTGCTCGTAGACCATGCGAGAGTATGGGCAGAGCCGCAGGCGACGTTTGTGATTTTTTTCACGTTAGACTAGAAAAAAACATACAATAAAGCGTAAATTAATGGGAACACGTCCATTAGAGAGTTTTTAAGCCCCTTATTTCAGTAACGTTAAACGTTATACGTTATTCTGCTCATGCGCATTAATAGAAAAATAACGGATTACTTTATTAGCGGATAAGGTATTCCCTTATTTAGGTAAAGATAAGGTTAACGTTATTAAGGGATTACCTCTTTGTAATGTTGTCAACTGCCAGATATCTAAATCATAAAAAACAAAAAAAAAGTCATATGAGCAGCTGTCTTTCCTTGTCTAAGAGCAGAACCAAAGATAACTAGAATAAAAAATATAGAAAATTTAGTTCAGCATCTTTCTCTTCAATTGTTTCCAACACAAAATGTAGTCTTGGTGCAACAGGTATTATAGGATCAAAAATATTTTGAAGAAGCCTCTTATCAAATTGTAATCTATTACACAGTATAAATTGTTGTCTATACTGTGTCTATTACTTCTCTGTGTACTGCCGTTTTATAGGTTACGTTCATCAAATGTCAATTAACGTTAATCTGTCACAGCTTAATTTCTGATATATATATATATATATATATAATTATATATAATTATGACCCCGAATGGCGGAAACCTAATCGCCATTCGGGGTCGGAAGAAACAAGAGTTAGCCAAGAGAGGCTGATAGAAAAGATTAAAGACATTTCACTCAAGACAAGTTGAAGAAGAGTAAAATGTGAAGGCCCTTATGATCCGCCAGGTGCGTTTCATAAGAGTATGAGTATTGATGCACTTTGTGTTCCCGCTCATACTTCGGGGTGTTGACTACAGACTTTATGGCTCGTCCAGCATGCCATAGCATGAAGGATAGGGTACACGTCATTTTACATTGCAGGAACCCTAAACTCCATGGCCTGACCAAAAAAAAAAAAAAAAACTATTTTAAGTAAAAACGTTTTCCCTTATTTAATATTCAAGGCGCATGACAAGTATAACGTTTTACGTTTAACGTCCATCGAAAAGTAAAGGGCCTAAAAACTCTCTATTATTTAATAACTGTACACTTTTTAGCAGTTTTCAATATGTTTATGTCAAACTATTGACAGATAGTGACATACCTAACTTCACGCCAGTTGCATTTTTATTGTTTTTTTTTTTTAGAATTATTGCTCAATTAAATCTTAATTTTGTGGTCGTCATAGTTAAAATCTATCTATCTAATTCTATCAATGATTCCACATGTATTTTCTCCCGTTCTACTATACCATTTAGTAAATAGGAAGAATATATTAAATATGTTGCATCATTTTCGGCTCAGATGTCCCTCAGTCGCTCTAACAGAGTGTCATCTTCCGAGGTAGACCTAGCGGTTCTACTAGTACTCATTGTGTTCTAGTTGTATTTACTATTTTGGAAACAAGGTATGTGAAACACTGTGTATAAAATCCTATCGAAGCTTAAGAGCTACGAACAATACTTTGATGCAAAAAAGGCACTGGGAGTATTGAGGTAAACATAAAATGGAAGCGTAGAAGAAAAAAGCAGACCACAGTAAGGGATGAATCGTTTTTAATAATGAAAAGTAAATTAAATCCTAGGAAAACCAGCAAAGAACTTCAACAAGACTTAGTACACGCTGGAGTTATTGTTTATGATTTCACTGTACGAAAATGAGTTATACAAAGTAGAAGAAATCAATTACACCGCAAACAAAAAGAATTATTGAGTAACTAATATCTTTTTGACACGAAGTCACCTTTAAGTTTATGGAGTTATACTCCACATCTCTTTCATGTTAACTAAGCATACTCTGAAGCATACTCGATGATGGAAGGTCCGTATTAAACAGAGGACATTTGACAACACATCAACTGACGAAAAAAGAAGACCTGTCAGGCTAAAGAATGAAGAATATGCATATATATGTTACAATCTTTTGCTCTAATACACAATCAAAGTCCGAAAAAGAAGACGCCGTCCTTGTTTCCACGTGTACTAATGATGAAATTTTGTAAAATTGGAAGTATCACCGTTACTAACACCTACAAACCACCAGCTATATCCTGGCCAGCTCAAGTCATCTACACACATCCGAACCCGTTAATATATGTGGAGGACTACAACAGTCACCATGAACAGTGGAAATATAAACAATGCAGCAGCAATGGGAATGCACTAGTAAAATGGGCGGAGGACGAACATCTATCACTTAAATTTGATGTTAAAGGCTGACCTATATTCATGTCAGCAGCATGGAAAAAGGAGTACAATCCTGATCTATGTTTTGTCTCTACTAATAAAACCGGCAACCTCTAGCAGTCTCTCGAAAAGTAATGGACGACTTCCCACACAACTAACACCGCCCAGTGATCATAGAGACAGGAATCCAAATTCCTATAATCATATCCATCCATCGCCCACGGTGGAATCTAAAGAAAGCTGTGTGGGTTAGGTTTTCTGCTGAACTGAATAAAATTCTAGGCTGGATACCCCCTACCATCAGAAATTACAAAAGATTCGTTGGAGCCGTAATAAGCACGACTAAAAAGCCTATATCAAGTAGACCACGCGAGACTAGCCTCTTGAGAGGCTATCGAAAAGAATACATACTAGCGAAGAACTGTACCAAAATTTCCTTGAAAGCAGCGATCAAGAATTAGCCGATGAACTGCTCCATAGTCTAGATGCAGCGCGATATCAAAAATGGACGGAAACTGTAGAAAGTCTTAATTTTCAAATTTTCAAACATTAAGTAGGCAAGCATGAATACTATTAAGAAAATTAGGAAGCGGACCTCCCATAACAAGGAACAAAACAACAATTAACCCAAAAACTAATGACTCACATCTGGTATCGATATCTTGAGCCCCGAAAGACAAGCCACACATAATCAAGGTAAAAGGAGAGCTCAAAACTTTAAAAATCCAATCTACAGAAACCGAATACTCCCCCCTTTCACTTGCGAAGAAGCCACTTAGAGCTCTCAAGGATGTAAAGCCAGGTAAAACCCCAGGTTTTGAAGATATTCATCTCGGTTAGTTTCTGCTTACAAGCGAAGCATTAACATCTCCAGAAAATAACAACTACTAGTGTTGGCGAAACGTCGAGAACTAATCTCAGAAGACAACGGCCTAACAGCCCGAACAAACAGTTTAATAACGATGGCCGTGAAAGCCTAACGCAGTTTATTAATTTTGACCGCACATGCCGAAAGCGCGACTTCAAATCTCTATAACTCTGGTAATATTGCTCGAATTTACTTCAAATTTAAATAAAATTTGAAATAAATATAAATAAAGCTAGAATAAAAAAATAAATAAATTTTTTGACAATGAAAGACCTATGTGACCCCTTAACTTACCTGTAAATGAGTCACTAGTCTCGGTCTGTGTATAGCATTCGTACTACCGTCTCCTAGCTGCCCTTCGTCGTTGTCTCCCCACGTATAAACTTCTCCTTCGTCGGAACATGCGACGCAATGAAGAGATCCCGTCGCTATGCAGATGATTTTTTTACCCTGCAAAGCCGCCACTTTTTTCGGTCTTCGTACGTGGTCGCCCGTACCGTGGCCTAATCGATGGTAATCACCTTTACCCCTATAAAATGGGACATTATTTAAAACGATAGCAAAAGTGTTTAAAGCAAATAGATTTCGAAAACGAAGTCCAAAAAAACGTCTAACAAACGTAAAATTTTGGAAGCATAGTTTTCTTATCGCATTTTCTTATCGCACAAAAATTAAAACAGACTGTAATATCAGATCGCACAACCAAACACTTGTAAACGCAGCCCCATGCGTGTTTAGTGATAAAATTAAAATAAAACAAAATAAAAACTATCGCTTCGTGCGAAGACGATAAGAAAACTATACTTCCCCTCCTCGGTCACTCCTAGTGTGTCACATTCCGTTTTTTATATCTGCTCTTATATCGCCAGGGGAATAATGCTGACCTAAAGCGTTATTAAAGTTAGAGGAAGTTCAGATTCTTTTCAAAACTCAATTATTACAACTTGAAACTTACCACGTATAAACGCTTCCAGATCTCGTAAGCGCCACCGAAAACTGCGATCCGCACTCGACTTTGATAACTCCCAATCCGGCTAAACTTTCAATCTTCATAGGAACTTTGCAACCGTCAGATCCGCCTCTTCCTAATTTTCCATAGTCGCCGTCGCCCCACGACCAAACGTTGTCGTCGTCGGTTATACACAGCGTTTGAGCGTCGCCCGAACCACAAGCTACGTCGATAACTTTGTAGCCCAATAAAGCTTCAATCTACACATAATAGAAAATATGTTAAATACATTTGAAAGTTGCACATTTAACACGTTTTTGCGAATTTTGGCAACGTTACTGATTATCCTCTACAATCACGAACAAGTTTCGCCATTGAAAATAATTCTATTACACCACTGTATTACTAGCGTAAATATCTTACCAATTTTGGTTTTAGTTGATCTTCGCTGTCACCGTGTCCCAATCGTCCATACCGACCTTTTCCCCAGGTGTATAAGTGACCCGAAGACGTTATAGCAGCCGAATGAGCCCCGCCACAAGCTATGTCAATAATTTCATATCCTTGGAGGGCTTCGATCAGTTTCGGAGTTTCGCACGAGCTAAAAAAGAGACCTTTATCAATCTACCCTAACGATTCATGCAAAAAAGACAAAAAAAATTATTGTTCACCTACTACCATTATTTTTTCAAAAGTCTTTATGTAAGTAAATGGTTAACAGTCGAAAAAATGTACGTGAACTTGTAACAAAAATCATCACTAGCTATTTTGTCTATTGGGTGCCCAGGACTAGTCGAGTTGGTTTTAGAATACCATTAGTGATACACAAATCGTAATACTAACACAGTCCAGTAGAGTTTTGCACAAAAATAGCTTATATTGGTTGTAGTGATCTAAGATTTTTATATAAGTATCTTCGGAAAATTGTTTATAACTAGAATTTGAATACACTCGGATGACATTTGGATCATATAAAGAAAAATTGAATAAAGGAAGAATTACAATTCTATAGCCTTTTTAAAAATTCCTTAGGTTCAATTATTCAAATATTCCAAATTTATTTATATATGTGGAATTTCAACCGTGAATTGGGGGACCATCCACCACATCTGCCATATTTGGTTCCTTCTGTTTGCCGCACATGAACAAAGCAATGAAATGAGTTTCAATAAAACGTTTGGTTGCAAATATCTATATATGATTCAAAATAATTCATGAAAATGAGGCCCAAAATAGACTACTAAAAGAAAATGACATCCAGAAAAAAATAAAAACAGAGATTAATAATAATTTTGCGAAAATAGTTGAAGACACTACTAGAGGCATAGAAGAATAGTGGAACGAAAGAAGACATCTATTACCACAATTTCGCATGAATATCTAAGATCAAAAAGAGAGAAGAAGCAAGAATGGATGACAGATAAAATATTGCAGGCGATGGAAGAGCGAAGAAAATTAAAAAGTAAAAAATGACAACGAATACAAAAAGTTGCATAAGACTATACTAAAGGAGATAAAAGGAACAAAAGAAACGTGGCTGACAGAGAAATTTACGGAAATTGAAGCACTACAATGCAAACATGACGATTTCCATATCCACAAAAAAAATTAAAGAGGTACAGAATACCAGAAAACAACGCAATACAGGCATAGCTGTAGAAGGCCACATAATAAGGCGACTGAAATAACCAATCCCTACGGCCCAGAAACAACACCCGAAGAAGAACTTTCACCATTACGCGGATTAAAGATGGGAAATCACCAGGACCTGATGAAGTGCATGGTCAAGTGTTAAAGCTATTAGGCACACCAAATCATAGCTCTTACGAAGCTATTCAACATCTACTAGACTGGGTACTGCCCAAAAGACTGGTTACTATCAATATTCATTTCACTTCCTAAAAAAGCCAAAGCTAGAAAATGTGAAGTACATAGATTAATTAGTTTGGTGAGCCATGATACTATGACTAAGAAGATAAGATATTGCGCATAAATCGTGACGTCATTGGAGAGTTGCACGTTCGAAATGTCAGTTTTTTGTATGTATCAATAAATAATATTTAATAAATAGTTTGGAGATATCCTTATGTGTACGATTATTGTAATTATTAAACCTCTTAACCTATTTTCGTCTAGTAATCTTATCACAGAATGTATACAAATCCCATTTAACTTACAAGAATTCAAATTCTACTCTCCAATGACAGCATGCGCGAACACGACCGATTTTGTGCTACAGGAAGATTCTATCTTGTTAGTCATAGTACCATGTGATGAGCCATGTACTTCTTACTATCATTCACTCGCGAATATACACCACATTAGAAGAACATCTGAGTGAAGTTCAATTTGGAATCAGAGAAGGACTCGGAAGAGTCCTTCTCTGATTCAAATCCTCACAAGTTCTAATACAGAGAGCCAGGATGTCAACTGCGATTTGCATGCATGTTTCATTGATTTCAACAAGGCATTTGAAAAGTCCCACATGGGAAACTAATCGATATCCTAAAAGCATCAGGACTCAATGGTAAGGGATATAAGACTCATCTCAAACTTATATCTCCAACAAAAAGCAACAGTGCGATTAGAAAATGAACTGTCCGAGATCTTCACAGTCTAACGTCAACTGATCTATTTCGAGCTGCTGTGAATGGAATAATATGGTCGCCAACATTTCCAGAAGATGGCATTCTTAGAAGAAGAAAACGTTTTGGGTAAAAAACAAAACTTTATCAGAGATAAATTGAAGTTTTGAAAGTATTCCCGAATTTGTGGATTCCAAATGCTGTACTACTTACTTTGACTACGATTAGACTACATTGCGATAAAAATTGCATTTTTACAATTTAAAAATCATAATTTTTCACACAATCACATAAAAAACTTATTTTCTTACTCTCTAATAAAAAACTAAAATTTGGTACTACTCTAGACTGATTATTGTATACTTACAATCTATTACCGTGTCCCAGCTTTCCGTCATCACCTTCGCCCCAAGAATATACGTCGTTATCTGCCGAAAGCGCTAAACAATGTTTTCCCCCCGAATTCACAGCGATCTTCTTGATATAAACATGCTGAATACTTTCTAATAATGTTGGCACTAGAACTGAATCGGTACCACCGATCCCAAGTCTTCCTCCAGCACCATAACCTTAAATTTATTTATCATTTAATATTATCTGATGCCGAATTTGTTTTAGATACATTTCGCTCAGTCACAGATCAAAAAAGTCCCAAAAAAAGTACACCCAGCTTACTCACCCGTCGCGTAGACTTTTCCGTCAGCAGTGACCGCAAAAAGAGTTTGTTCTCCACCTACAAGTTGTACAGGTCGAAGAGTTGACAAAGCTTCACAAGCTGTTGGTGTTTTAACCTTGCATCCGTCCACTCCTCCTAATTGTCCTCTGTGGTTATGTCCCCAGCCGTAGATGGTTCCGGATCCACCCCAACTTAACGTCCAGTCTTCTGGTCTCCTACAAAAAAAAATATAAAAAATTAACATGAAGTATTTATTAATACCACATTTAATAAAGTTATCCTAAGTGAGGAGCACCATATCCGGCTCGCAGGACCATTGTCACGCTTCCCTGATCTATGTTTATCTTACGAGTAAGTCAAAAAAGCAGTACTTACCTATTTAACCAGATAAGTAACTGCTCATCATGTTCTCTTTTAAACAACGAATGCTTCTCGTGTTCCCAATACTCGCTGGATCCCTCTCCACTAGAGTCACTCAATTTTTTTCTAACTTCTTGACAAAAGGTCATAGGCAGTTCAGTTCTATGGATTAACGCTTTGGCTACCCTCGCTGCGTGGCAGTACCGTCGGAACCAGGACCATTTGTGGTTATCTACTATGTTCGCCATTTTGTCCATCTCTAAGTCACTCGCCAAAGATACCAAAACCTAAATATATTGTTGCGTATTTAATATTTTATTTTTTAACAATATTGTACAGGGAAACTTACTTTGAAGAAGTCTGAATGCATCAAATGTAAACCGGCTCTAACAGAACCATCTTCATACTCATACTGTCTTAGCAGAGCTTGTGGTAGTTCTTCTAACAGAGATCCCAGAGCACTATCAGGAGCTTTAAGTTCTTGTAACTGCAAAGGAACTATTTCTCCTCTTTCATCTTCTCCGACCAAAAGCCTGTGCAATCGTTGAAGCGACCACATCCTTTGACTTGGAGCTAAAAGAATAAATTATTAAGAATGTCACTTTTATCGTTTTTTCTTCAATCTTACATAGAAAACTTAATTGCGAACATGCTGCAAGAGCGGCGGCTAGTCTGGACATTAAGGCAGAATCTGCAGACGGATATAATTTTGGATCCAGCAGGCACATTACCATATCCATCGAGGGTTGACTCAATACGGCCCTGTCCGAACCTAATTCGCTTAAACCGTGACTGGACATCACGGGGTACACGGTAAATCGCCATCCCCATCCGTTGACCGAACTATCGGTAGTAAAAGTCCATCTTAACTCATCACCTAAAAAATTAAATGTAAATACAATAATATTATAACACGAGAAGAAAAATTTTTTAAAAATTGGTTTACATAAATTGAAAAATAAAAAATTAAATCTGTTGTAAAAACGACCAGGGATCCGGCTCGAAGGACCAAAACTATCGTATTGTATTATTTACCTGGTATTCTTAACTCGGAAGACCAGTCACTCCATTCCCGGCCTGACATGGTTGCGACAACTCGTCCAGTACCGTCCATTATTTGTAGAGGATCGTGCCTTCTTTCGGTTGAACATCTTCTGTCGAACTCTACACGTAATGCATCTGTTCCTGGAAGACGAACGTGACCTAGAAAAAAAACTTACTCATATTACTTACTCATAGTGTTCACTTGAATATCGTAGAGTAAGGACGTATTCAGCCGAATGCAACAGCAAAAAGTGACCACCGGTAAAAAAGCGGCAAAAAATGAACAAATTTTCCTCTGCACATTCGCCAACTCACTGCTGAAAAACGTCGTGCGAGCAGAGCGTGGCAAAGATCTAGAAACAACATAGATATTCAATACTCTACCTAGGCAACTTGGAGTAGCTATCAAAGCCGCAAACAACGAAACCTTCCAACATTACAAATCTTACATCCGCAAATCAAATGGCGAATGTGCCTCCAACAAAGAAAAATCGGACGTCTTTGCTGAACATCTTACAAACGTATTTAAAATAGAGCCAGCAGACCCTGATGAAGAAGTGGAAGAACTAATTAGCGCAGCATGTCAAATGTCTCTCCCAATTAAAAGTTTTACTCCTATAGAAGTCAAGAAAGAATTAACAAACTCAACTCACAAAAGGCCCCAGGTTATGATTTAATCTCGGCACAAGTACTAAAACAACTTCCTCAAGACCATTACTTTACTAACAGTTATATTTAACCGCATGATAAGCTTATCACGCTTTCCAAAAATATGGAAATTTGCTGAAGTCATTATGATCCGTAAGTCAGGAAAAGAGTCCAATGAAGTAACATCTTATCGTACAATCAGCCTACTCCCAACCGTAAGCAAAGTTTTTGAAAGATTGCTGCTACAAAGGATATACGCAGATCATGAATTCCTAACATTACTTCCAAAGTGTCAATTTGGTTTTGGGAAAAATCACCCACTACCCAACAAGTCCATCGAATGATAAATGAAATATCAAAAAGCCTTGAAGAAAAGAAATACTGCAACGCTGTATTTCTAGACATCTCACAAGCGGTTGACAAAATCTGTCACAGAGGGTTGCTTTACAAAGTAAAAATAGCACTATCCAGGAACTATATATAGGAATCAAACAAAATAAGCTCAAATAACATTTTACCAACCGTCACAACATATGCCCACCTGTAAGAATGGAAAATGTAAGAATACCAACAGACGCTAAATACCTCGGTCTCCATCTTGACCAACGTCTCACTTGGAAGAAACATATCCAGACCAAAAGAGGGCAGCTTGACTTAAAATTCCGGAAAATGTATTGGCCCATTGGACATAAATCAAAACTTAACATCCAAAACAAAATTCTTCTATACAAAGCCATAGTCAAACCTATATGGTTCTAGTCTAGATGATTCTAAAGTGCTAAGATCGATAGTGGATGGCACCATAGTACGACTTAATGATTCCTTTCATCAGAGAAGAAATTCGTCGAGCCACGGAGTCATGAAAATGAGCTAGTAAGGGAATTATTCAACAATGGTCCAGCCACAAGAAGACTAGATAGAACCTAGCCCCAAGACCTACTTCAAAACTAAACTCTCTATAACAGAGTATAACTAAACTAAAATACTCTTTAATGATGTAGATTGTAAATAAACATAATTATATAAAAAATATATTACTATATAAAAAATATTCAATGTACCTGTTACTTAGTTTCATTTTATATGTTTAGACAGCGAAATAATTAATAAAATCAGCTTATTATAATGAAATGTTTGTAGAGTTGTACTATAAACCGGCTGGAAATATTCGAGTAAACAATAAAAACTTGTTCTGCTCGAATCCAATTGTGCACCTGTTTTATAGTTCCAGTTTTAATGTTTAGACAACAAAATAATTAATAAAAATAATAAAATCGGCAAGTAATATTCGAGTAAACTACAAAAACTTGTTCTGCTTGAATTCAATTGCATAAAACAATCACAACATCGACCCGACAAGTCAACAAGTTTTTGTACCTGTCACCTAAAATAAAATTCATGGAGTAACAAACTAATAAATTCATTAGACAACCAGTATTTACGATATGAATGGTTTTCCTCGCCAGATATAAAGGACTATACTTCGTTCTGGAAATCTTACGGAGTGACGTATTTTTAAAGTATAGACAGTTACGGTGTCGAGCGGAAGGACGTGAGGAAGATCATAGGCGTCGAGGTTTTTGGATAAATATTGACAGCAATTTTATTAATATTTAATATTTAATTTTGTAAGTACCTCAAAAATATTTTTAAAATAGACTAATAAAATTTTAAAATTTAGTATATTAAATAGTACATTTTTATACAAGTAAATGAATTACTATTATTTCATTTTCGGGCTCAAATAAAAGAATCGAAATAAAATTCGCAATAAAATTAATCGGCATCATCAAACAATACATGTGTGTGTTATCACCCAAAGATATCAACAACACAATCAAATTACCATCTTACGTTCTTGGTGAAAACTTACGAAAATACTTTTCAAACTGAATTATTAATCAATTTTACATAACTTACTTTTAATCAACATCAGAAATGTCTGAGTATTCGCTATCTGCACCAAGTTGAACGACAATGGGTTCCATAATGACATCTGCTGTATATCTAAATTCCACATATTTTCTTCTTCTTTCTGCGTGGTGAAAGATGCAGTTTTGCCAGTTCTCTTGGGTAACGTTATTTATGGCTTCGTAGAAGAGCGTACATAACTGAAAAGTAGTATTTCTACTTGCAACCTCTTTTTTTATTTGTGCCCAGATTATAGGATTAAGCTCACAATGATGTGTTGGTTATCGGTGAATAAAAACCCCATGGTTACGAGATATTTTATCAAAAACGTATTTTAGAAATTTTTGTTTATGCAATATTTAGTAACTCCGGCTTAAGCATAGACTTGTAATACCCAATTTCTTTCCTATCTAGCCATTTACTTATTTCTCCTTTTCGCCAACTTGTTGTTGGAAGCTTTTCTATTTGACGACTTTGATAGGAAGCATTATCTAAAATGATTATTAAGCCAGGTTCAATTTTTGTCAATATGAACAAAAACAAGTTTCAAATTTCTCAGTATCCATGTCCTCCTGATAATCTCCAGATTTTTTGGATTCAAAAACTGAGAGTCCTCCAGGAAAAAACCATGTTCACTACCAATATGTGTTATTATTAGATGTCGGCCCTTGCTTGATGGTGCTTTTAAACCCGTAGAGAAACCTTCAAGGAACGCTTGTCGAGTGTTTTTAATACTTAAATCGTGCCAAACTTTGTTTGTCACGATTAATTGTGGCAAATTAATTGTGAAAACCACTTGGAATGTACTCAAGAAATGGTCTTAAATTACAAAATTCACTCTTACTCAAAATCAGAATTATCCGAATCATCGCTCTCGTCATCAAGTTGGACTATAATCGGTTCCATAATTACATCTACCTGTATATCTACATCCCACATCTAATTTTCTATTTTCTCCACGTGACCGATGCACTTTCGCCAGTTGTCTGCGGTAACGTTACGTATAGCTTCATCGAATAGTACTTTAACATCACATAATTTAAATGTAGTATTGCGACGTGCTACCTCTGTTTTCACTTGTGCCCAAATCAATTCAATTGGATTCAGCTCGCAATGATATGGTGGTAATCGATGAACAAGAACTCCGTGACTAAGAGCCATTTCGTCAACAACATATTTATGATATTTATGTTTATGTTGTCGTGCAATATTTAACAAACTCAGGTTTAATCATTGATCTTTCATAAGCGATTAGTTTCGTATCCAGTCAATCAATGATTTGTCCTTTGCGCCAGCTTGTTTGTTGGGAGCTTTTCTACCTGTCGACTATGGTAGGAGCATTATCTAAAATTATTACCGAACCCGGTTCTATTGTCGGTAATAAGGACAAAAACCAAGTTTCAAATCTCTGAGCGTCCATGTCCTCATGATAGTCACCAGATTTTTTTGACTCGAAACATAAAAGTCCACCAGGAAGAAAACCAGACTCACTACCAATGTGTGTGATAATTAGACGTCGACCTTCACCTGATGGTGCCTTAAGGCCTGTGGATAATCCATCAACAAATGCTTACCTACTGCTTGTAACATTTAAATCGTGCCAAACCTTGTTTACAGTATGAATCAATGAAAGAAGTGGAAAATATTAAAAAATGGAAGCGAATAGAGGAGGCCTATATTCGGAAGTGGACAACACAGGCTGCAAGATGACTCCAAGACCATATCTTTAAAATAAAAACTAAAATTCCTCTCATTTTTTTAAAAAATTGCCATATTTTATTAATTAATACAAAACATACATTTCTATTTAGTTTGATCAAATTGCTTATCGTACGACCAATGTACCTATGCCCTAATTTTGCAAATGAATAACCTCTTATTGTTCATAATTAAAAATGCCAATCCCAGAGCTATCTAAATGTCTTTGAAACTGTTTATACGAGTGACTCGCGGCATCGAGAGAGATTATGCCTGTAGTAGATCTTTCCAGGAATGCCGCGTATTGACCATAACATTCGAAGAGATGTTATAAGAAAATTCCATAGCGATAAAAAGTCATTCTGAAATAAATATTTGCAATGTAAAGATACATTGTATAATATAAATTAATTCGTAATGTTGTAAGTGAAGTTTAAACAATCGAACGGTAGTTTCATGTTACAATATTTTACACCCAGAGAAAATCCGTATGCAACACTATCGTTTTGTTGACTGCCAGTATTAAATAAAAAATTTTAGAATTCACAAAGAAGTGATTGAAAATATCTACTTACCAAAGTTAACATACAATCGATATAAATAAATTGTTAATAACCACTCAAACACTTTACAGACAATTTATAAAAGTAAATATATCAAGGTAAGTTTACGGTAAGTAAATTTACGGCAGTTACGCTACTGATAAACTGATCGTAGCGAAACTATTGATAAAGCGGCCACTTCGTTTCGATACTACAGCTCTTCGGGAGCTAATCGTAGGCATTCGTTACTTAAAAAACGTGATTTATGTTGTTATCGTATACTGTTTCCCCGGTATTTAGTTCAAATCACAGTTTTATTAAAGCGGACTGTCTATCTGTCTAGCTACACTGAATAATTTACATAAAATTTATTTAATTAAATTTTGCCGTATGTTCACGTTGTGGTCCTATACTAAGTATTTGTCACTCCGTAAGATTTCCAGATCGAAGTATAGAGAATTGGCAAAAATAAAATAAGTAATTTGTAATTTTTTAATTTAGAATATGTGTTTTGTTGATAAATTCTTAAAGCCGCTAAATTTTGAAATAGAGAAAATGAAATGAAATAAGAAAATGTTTTCTTTTTTGTTCTATAAAGCAAAGTTAGTTGCAATTCTTGTTGTCTTTGCATTAAGCGTTAATATTCCAACTTATTATTTTAAGACGTTTGTCATATGATTATAAGACGAAAAAAAAAAAATAACTTTTAAGTGTGTTTGCAGATACATATTATGTTATGTATTACCTTTTATAGTGACATCATCTATGTATGGATGGCTAGATTCTTGAACAACAGGGTGTGGAGTAGTGGACAAATTCTGAGTGCTATTGTTAGTATCTTCCAACTCGGTTACACAAAGTTCTAGCAGCATAGCGCCTATTGACTGGTTAGCTGCGCCCATAGCTAAAAAAACACAATCAAACCAAACTTACACGCTTTCAAATACACAACTTACTTATCAGCACCGACGATAAAATGTCTTTGGCTTGTTCGTCTTCGATCCTGTCAGCTACTCCTAATTTTAAAAGATCCACCAACAGTCTAGCATCGTTTTCTGTTAGAAGGGAGGTAAATTCGTCTAGACCGGTAAGACCGCCGTCGCCTATGACCTCGGCGTGGGAGGTGAGAGTTGCAGCTATTACAGACATGGCACTGGTTGACATTCTGGAGTGCTTTGATGACATGCTGGCCGAACAACTGCTGGCTGTCATAGACTGCAGTAGGGCCATGGGGTTTTCTTCCGTTTCCGGCGAGGTTGGATTTGGACTCTAAAATTATTAATAAATTTAAACTGATATATGGTTTAATGCTCGAATAAATGAACTTTAATACATAAATTTGTTGATTTCGATCACTTAATTAGATAAAAGCGAAGGAAGAATGAATCACAAGTCAATTACAACCCTAAGATGTCTTAAATGGTCTATAAATCATTTCAAACTTTATGCAAGAAGAATGGAATAAATTGATGAAAAGCGAAATCATGAAGTCAGCGCAACAGGACGCATGAAATTACCAAAACTTTCGGAAGTTTGTACCTGGTGAAAAATTCTTGAGAAGCTGTGAAAGAAGAAACGATTATAAAGTCGTTTAAAAAAGGCGGGATTAGTAATGCTATAAATGGTACTGAAGATGACGCAGTTTTTGAAAGGAATGACAATAATAGTTCAGACAAAAGTAATACGAATGGTAACATTAACGAGAGGAGTGATAGTACCGATAATTTAGATGAAAAATATGGTAAATTTTTTTAAAGATGATAGAAAAAATAGAGGAAGATGCAGTCTTAGCTTTGTCGTTGGTGTTGAACATCTAAGTCAGAAAATGACGAACATTGGCTGATGATTGATCTTCTTGAAGGCGAAGGTACGACTAATAATTTATTATCAATAAAATATCCATCCATGAAAATAAATACTTACATTTACTGCAGCAATTTCCGCAATCGATACTGGTGCCTCTCCTCCCCCAAATGCAATTTCTCCATCTTTGTTTAGCGACGATGCGTTCATCACAGACCTCTCTAACGGTGTATCGGGGGAAATTACTTGCTGGAAATACATATTTACATTGACTGATTGTTTTTTTGCAAATAACATTATAAGATAAAGTCACATCACATCTTTGACGCTTTAACAACCAAACCCGATTGAAAAACTCTTGGTGGTCCATTCCGCAGTATCAATTATCCTTCCACAGCAACTCGTAGGGGTAAATATTTGCGATATATTCAAGATATATGCGAAAAACTATAATATGTAGACTATTTAGTAATAATACATGAGAAATTCTTACCTTGGCATTATTTTTTATGTTGGTATGACTGCACAGAGCTCTGACGATGGCCTGTCTTAGCTGCTGTATGTGCATAGCGTTTAAAATATGTTGTAGAGCATGCTGTTTGGCCGTATTACTCTCCAGAGACATCACGATACTGCTTAATGTAGGCGCGTTTTTATCTTTCGATCGTAATGGAGGTTTCTCGCCATCGTACAAACCTAGTATGGACGAACCGAGAGGATCTTTCGCTACTGGAAAGATGACAGGTTCTACTTTCGAAACCGTTTGAGTGTCTTGCAATGTCCAAGCGATTGAATGGGAGCTGCCGCAAGCTACTCTGTTGATGTGAACATCCTCTAAGCCATGGACCAGAGCAGGTTTTCTGTTGACAACGGTGGTACCGTTGCCTTGTTGTCCGTGGTCGTTGTCCCCCAGGCGAATACTTGACCGCTCTCTGTTACAGCCAGACAGTGCAAAGCACCAACAGCTACATGAATTATCTGTCAATAAGCATAACATATAAACTTTCCGTCAAAATAATTATTTGTACAGCAATCTTACCTTTTTGTCTCGTAGAGTATCAATCACAGTCGGCTTTCGAACATGCTGATCAGTTCCATGCCCTAGCCTGAAATAGTCCCCTTTACCCCACGTCCAAATATCTCCAGCTTTAGTTAAAGCCAAAGAAAACTGAGCCCCACACTCGATTTGTATAACGCCCAAGGTGTTTAGTCGTTCGATGTTGTGAGGGACGTTACAACCTTCTGAACCTCCTCTGCCCAATTTGCCAAAGTCTCCGTCTCCCCACGAGAAAACTAGACCCTCATCCGATAGAGCTAGAGTTTGAGCATCTCTACTACCACAAGCCACTTGGACGATACGATGACCAACGAGAGTCTTTACCAGTTTTGGTTTGAGTTGAGTCACGTTGTCTCCATGACCCAGTCTGAAATAAAACCAGATAAAATATGGTATTAATCAACATTTCACAATATTTCCTTACATCAATAGGAAGGATAAGGTGAGGAAATAATTTAGAATGTAGAAAAACTAAAGAAGTTGATACCAACCGTCCATATTCGCCTAATCCCCACGAAAACAACTCTCCGCTGCTAGTGATCGCTGCCGAATGTGAACTGCCACAAGCAATATCTCTGATCTTCTTGCTTCTTAACGCCTCGATCATGCGTGGTTTGTCCAAATTCAGTCTATTACCATGCCCAAGCTTGCCGTCTTCACCTTCGCCCCACGAGAATACTTTGCCATCTAAAGTCAGCGCCATAGCGTGTTTGCCGCCCGAATGTACGGCTACTTTCTTAATAACATATTGACTTAAAAACGGTATAGGCCGTGGGGTCGGAACGTTATTGCTGTGTCCTAGACCCAACCTACCGTTTGTCCCTTCCCCGCAGGCGTATAGTTTTCCTTCTTGCGATACAATGAACAAGGATTTTGATCCACCTGCTATATGGATCGGCTTCAACTGACTTAGATAATCTGAGAGTATGGGTAGTTTCACTTTGGAACCTTTCATTCCGCCCAGCTGGTCCTTATCGTTTAAGCCCCAAACGTACACTTTGTAACCGTTCGTGTTTTGGGCGCACTCGCTGTTAGGTTCTTGAGCTAAAACAAATTGAACGTTCATAGAACCCTTTTGCTTTAGATTAAAAATGAATTGGGGCTAAATAAGAACCCAAAACAGTGTTGCCAAATTTATTAAATTTCTGATTAAAAATCCACTGTTGCCATTTCTAAAATATTCGGGAAACATGCGGAAATTGACAATGGAAACCAAAATTTTAATAATGTTCAAATAGTTCTAACAGTATCAGGTGTCAATTTCAATATAATGTATAAATTTTTTGTATATGAATAATAATACGATAATTTTTCACTATAAAATTAAATGAAACTTTTTATAATTGTCAAAAATGTTACTAATATTTTCCTAGGCGAAAAATTTGCCGAGTTCTGGTAAATTTTTGTATCAGGACAAGAATTTCTTCATGTTTTGGCAATTATATAATGCTACTATAATTAATTATAATTCAGAATTATAATGTGCTAAACTATTTTTAAAGGTAATTGGACTAATGTTTTCAAAAATAATTGTATTTGGCAATATTCAAAACATTTGTGGTAAAAGTGACTCGTTTACGTCGAATTGGTAACAAAAAAAAAACACTAAATTACTCTAATTAACACATTTTTTTACCTTTCATGCTTTTTTCAGAAAAAAAGATATTATGTTGATGTCAGAAATTAATTATTTTTTAAACAAGTTGTTAATGAAGTTAAATTGATGTCAAAATAAAGTCTATTATACAAAAGGTATACTTACTGACTGTAACCATCGATGGGCCGGATGAAGAGTCTTGGCTAAGATCCCAGTCATTAGCCAGAAACGACACAGACGATTTCAATTCTCCATAAGACTGTTTTTTAATGCCTGTGATGGTAATACCGTGAATTTTGCAGTCTATGCCGTTGTTTCTGCATTTTACGATATTTATCTCAATTAAGGGATAGTGCTAGAATAAAATTGAAAATTGTATAAGCGTTTAATAGAAAAATTAGGAGATTTGATGTAAGAATTGTTAGAACATCCTCCATATTCGCCATATTTGACTCTATCTGACTTTTAACTATTTTCAAACTTTTCAAAATATGTGAGAAAAATTATGAGATGCAATCAATGAACTGCACGAAGAAAAATGTAGAAATAACATTTTAAAATAAATATCTCATTCACTATTCGGTCAACAATGTTTCATCTTATCCTAGTATATTAGCAGGTAAATATAACAAAAAATATATCAATATATAAATTAAGCCAAGTTCCTACTTTTATCTATTCTTTGGTCACACATATTGAAATTTTAGCTGCTTCTTCTAGATCGTGAATCATATTTGAGGTGTCATTTTGTATAGTGCTCCTTTGACGTTGCTATACATATACGATAACATCACTAATCTTGGCATTTAAAAAAAACTTTCACTGTTACAGCTTGTCAGTTAATAGATAAAAATCACTGTTATTTGTGATTACGACGACAGAACAATCAAATTGTGATCATGTTATAGCAAAATACCATACGAATACAACATTACAGCAATGCTTTCAAATATAAAGATGATATGTGAAAATAAGAACAAGAAAGGGAACCGATACAGAATTTATAAAGCAAATCATGTGATAGCAAAACAACAATCCAAGCAGTTGTTTTAACTGTGATAATGTTATTTATCACAGTTAAAACAACAAAACAATCGCACTGGGTCACTGTTATACAATTATTAAATGCTACAACACATCTACAGGTAAGTGAACGAAATTATTTACACCCATCACTGTTACTTGTTACAGTGAAATAAAAAAATCTCATTATGTAACTGTTTATAAAAAATCTATACTAGAACACCTCTGTAGACATTTTTTAAAATGTCATGACCATATATGAAAATATACAAAAAAATTTGAATAATTTATATGGCAAACAAAACGATATTGAGTATTCACTGTTATTTATCACATCAAAAACAACAACAAAACCGTATTGAGCCACTATTATACAAAAATCCTATACAAAAAAATGTAAAGTGCTATTTAAAATATCACGAAGTTATACGAAAATATGGAAAATAGGGAAATAAAATTTAAGTAGTCTATACAAAATATTGATAGAAGATAACATAACAAGAGAACTGTAATTAAGAGCTTAGGTAATTATTATACTAACCCCTTTTAAAGGAATCTATAAAGTGAACAATCACTACTATTTATCACAACGAACACAGCATAAGAATCATTATCACTGTTATTTATTCACACTCAAAAATTTTGTTGGTCCATCTCCATCTCTGAGTCTGGCATGAGTCTGACATGAGTCTCCGGTTCCATTTCAAAGTTGTAATTCTTTAAACTGCGTCAATAATACCATTTTTTTCTAGCTTTTTGATTTATAGAATAATCAACAAGTTGTTGATTATTCTTCTCACACAATTTTTAAAATAATCTTTTTTGAAATATCGAAGCCTTAAACATCAGTTAAAAGGACCCTCTAACGGAATCTACGAAGCAATCACTGTTATTTATCACAGCGAACATAGCATAACAATGATTGTATCATTTTTATACAATAATACTACTGTTATCTATTACATTATATTACATAATTTTTATACAATAATATTACTGTTATGTGAAATTTAAATATTGACAGAGAAAAATTCATAAAGCTAACACATTTGCTTAGATGAATCACTGTTATTTATTAGTAACCATGATAGAACAACCGAATCGAAATTTCAAATATTTTAAAAGATGGCTTGAAAATGCATACAGCTAACATTTTTTTAGACGAATCACTGTTATTTATTCCAGTACAAACATTCGATTAATCACATTATCACTGTTATACAAAAATCCTGCACTAACACCTCTACAGCTATTCTTTAAAATATCAAGAAGTTATATGAAAATTTGAAAAAGGAGAGAAGATTGACAAATTCATAAAGCGAACAAAACTCTTTAGAAGAGTCACTGTTTTCTATTACAGTGAAAAATAACTATACGAACATACAAGTATCACGTAAAATGTTTATACAAAATATTGATAGAAGATATTGAGTATTTATTCATTGTAATTTATCATAGCAAAACAACAAACCAATCGCATTTTGTCACTGTTATACAAAAATCATATCCTAGCACACTTCTACGGGATTTTTGACGAACTCTATTTAGACGACACTGTTATTTATTACAGGGATAACAAGAGAGCTGTAACTAAGAGCTTAGGTAATTATTATACTAACCCCCTCTAAAGGAATCTATAAAGTGAACAATCACTATTATTTATCACAGCGAACACAGCATAAGAATCATTATATCACTGTTGTACAAAAATACTACAGTTATCTATTACAGTGACCATGACAGAACTATTTACAGAGAATGTCTAGAAAAATTCATAAAGCTAACAAATTTATTGAGATGAACCACCACTTTTATTTATTACAGTGAAAAGAAAAGAACAATAACATATCACTGTTATATTGCGATAAATCACTGTTACAATTACAAAGATACCACTTTTATCTATTACAGTTTCAATGACGATGACCGAATCGAAATTTAAAATATTGACAGAGAATGGTTTGAAAAGTTTATAAAGTTCAAATTTATTTAGACGAATCACTGTTATTTATAACAGTAAAAATGAAAGAACTATAATATTATATCATTGTTATACTGCGATAAATCACTACTACAATCACAAAAATATCATTATTATTTATTAGTGACCATGATAGAATAGTCAAATCGATATTTAAAATATTTCTTGAAAAATTCTTAATTTCTTTACCAAAATGACGACACAACGATATAATTTTGTCACTGTTATAAAAAAACGCAGACTATTCCACCTCTAATTGTATTCTTGAAAATAACTGATGATTATTCGATTATTCAAAAAGCAATCAGGATTTGGTTAAATTTAGTTAAATATGTTTTTAATTGACATGAGTTTACTTGGACTTACCTTGTCCACATTTGACAGCAGAACAACACTGGTATCATACTTCTTGACATTTACGACACTGAGTTCTGTCATGGAATTAACAGCATATCCTCCATTTACAGAGATGACAGAAGGCATATAGCTGTTATCCCCGGGATCAACTCCCACTTTTAAGCTCTTTATGGTTATATCGGGAAATATATCAAGTCGAATCCAATGCTTCCCTTGGGAACCGCAACTCTGCCATATCGTTCCAGGTATTTCGAATCTGACGGCGTATTTTGATGACACATTCACGTTTTTGACTATTCTGCCCCATTCGGTGATCAGTTCGCCGTCTAAGTCTACTGTGTCGTGTCTGTAGTAACGACCAGCTCTGCCTGCGTGGACTTCCGGAGAACCTATGCAAATAAATAGCGTAACAAAACATACAATTTAACTGCAAATAACATACCTGGTTCATCAATCCTCGAAAAGGAGTGTCGATGGTTCTTCTTTGTGTAGAAGCAGTTATCACATAAATCGAAACTATCACAGGTCTTGCATTTAAACCTTGGTCCTCTTATGGGTATGATGCAGCATCCATTGCAGCTAACACCTTCGTGGCACGACGGCACGATCTCCATTTCACTAATCAAAGCGGTCCAATTGTGCTGTTTCGGAAAATCAACAGTCAAGTCATGTCCATTGGGAGATATCGCTGTAACGATACCAACACTGTCGTGTGTCACATAGCCCCATTTGTATCTGGGGGTCGTAACGTTGGGTTTTACGCGGACCTTATCCCCAACTTTGATCGTAGATGGAGCGGGTAAAGACGGAGGGAATCCTAGTAGTTCTATATGTATGAATCTTACCCAGTACGTACTGATTTTGTGTTGCCAATTTACTTGTAGATTTAAATCGTGCAGCCCCTCTCTGTCTATCTTTACTATTTTCCCAATATCACCGAGCTGTACTTCTTCGTAGCTTTTACAACAACGTACCAGCATCCCTACTTCTGCATTGTCTCTGACGTACATGGCATATTCGTCGTTTGACAGAAACTGGGATCTTCTAGCGTATGATTGATGCTTCTCGTCTCCGTAAGGATTTAGGGATTGAGCTCCTAAAGCATTGTCGTACGATATAGACTCTGTTTCTGAATCATACACCGAACTGAGCGAGTCACTATCTTCAGCTGCAACTTCAGGGTGTTCAAGCAGCCAACTTACTATCGACTCGGGGGTCGTATAACTCTCAGGCGTTATAGCTAACGACTTAATAGCCGCTTCAACTGCTTTCTTCGTGAATCCCATCTCTACAATCTGCGACACCATCGGATGAGGCGGCGTTTCATCTTCTAGTTCCCTTCGTTTATTAGTACGCTCACTGACAACACTATTAACCGAGCATTCACTATTCGGCGTTGCCAGTTCGCTATTACACCTAGTACCATTCTTAGGCGTAGTTTTTTCGTTGTTTATACAAGGAGGAGTTTCAAAAGTGCCTTCTGCTGCCAGAAACTGGCTCAAGTTCAACGCGGCCAACTGCATTTCTTGAATAGTAAAGCCAGGTTTAAGAGGACTCGGCTGGATGGATTTGGCCAGTAGCTTTTGAATCAACAGCACCGGTTGTTGGTTCAGCTCTTCTTCTATGGATTGCTGTTCTTGGGATTGGTCCATTCCGTTTACTGGATACTTTAGAACTTTGCGCAGTTTGTATTGGTTGGTGTGGAGGATTCTGGTGGCGTTCAAGGCGTACAATATATTTTGCTGTGTTCTTAGATAAGCCAGATTGACTTGACCTAAAAATATAATAGTACTGTCTTAAATATTCTGAATTATATCGACCATTGTTACTAATTCACAATAAATAACACAAAAATTATTCATGTCAGGAGTCAGGTCTACTAAACGGAAGAATACACCCTTGATATTTGCAGATAATACTCTAAAAGCAGAATTTCTGAAGGTACTACAATAAATAGTTGACAAATATATTAAGAACAACACGAGCCAAAAGAGAAGTACTTAAACAGTGGTATATACAAAGTTAACAAAAACTTACATCGGTCAAACTGGTAGAACTTTTAGCAAACGTATAGCAGAACATAAAAGAGCTTTCAACAATAGAAAAACAGATTCTACATACGCACTTCACCTTTTAGACCATAATTATTTTGTTAATGACCAGTGTCTAATTCACCATATTCAAAATAAAGGCAGTAAGCTATCTTTATTAGAATCTACTAAGTTTTTAGTGTTTTATTGTTAGACAAAATGAACTTCCATTAAGTAACGCTCGACTCCATCACTTAGTTTTAGAGGACATGACACATAAAGAAGAAAATACCCTTGATAACGGACTAAACTTGTGGAATCACAAAAACCTACCCTCACAGATCATCGAAATGAGGAACCATAAAAGCTAAACAATCTTAACAACAATTTCTCTCCTATCTACAAAGATTAAGGCACTAGAAGAAGAAGAAGAAATCTGTCTAATTTCATAGGAAGTTCATTATAGTTATTCGTAGATTCTTTAGGAATACCAAAAATATACCAAATCAAACAAAATATATCTAAATAATGCACATGACTAAATTACGAGGGTAAGGTAAGAAGTTGCCGGTTTACGCACACCACATACCATGCCTCTATCACTTATCACCTTTGCAGTTTGAATTTTCTTCTGTTAAATATCAATTTTGGGTGTTTAAACTGTTAACTTAAAATTCCGCGTTACTCGTTAAGGTTCCGCGTTACCGATGTCTCGTCTTCTCTGATAATTATTCGCATTTTTAACTCTTCTTTGTTTCAATGTCACGTGTCATCTGTCAATATTTTTTCTTTTGGATTTCTTCTTCCTAGGGTCTTAGCCTTACACACGGTCTGTCATACTTACACAAACATTTCGGAAATAAGAGAATTAATGTGTACAGCTCCCAAAGAATTTTATCTTCTCCAAAATTAAAAAAAAAAACTCCTGTTTTGGGCTAAATAAAGCATTAATGTCATTCATAGACGGATATGTTGAAAAAGTGTTGATCAAAGTTTATTGAACTAAACTAAAATTATATTAAGAATTTTTAAGCATTTTTAAAGTTATAAATCTTATTTTTTCCCCGCCGAGCCGCAAACTTATCACATTACCCTCGTAAGTAAAAAATGTTTTTAAATAAAATCTTACCGTGATGTGATTTTCTGTCGTGGCCGTTTAACGACTGTCTGAACATGAGGAGATTGGCCCACGTTTTGACGAAATTCTCACCAAGCAACATCCTATCGAAATTGAAATCTGGTCCACCTACCAATTTCAGGCTGTTGATGGGGACTTTCTTGACATCTCCGTTTTCGTGAACCTGTATCCACAGTTTGCCTTTAGGGGTGATTCGTACAACGGTGCCTTGAGATCCATCAACCTGTAATTTGACAATTTTCAGTAGAATCGTTTAATAATATTGTAACGCAATCTAGAACAGGTGTACCATCACTTATAATAGAAGCGTTATAGTGTACTGATCCAAGTCTATGCTCCCACAGCTGATAAAACCGAACATAAGATCGAAAAGTTTTATTTAGAATTGCACAATACAATCTAGTTAACAAAATCTAGAGATATTACTTACATTTCAGTAAAAACATTCCTTCAAAGAGAAATTCCACAAGAGCAAACTGGATTTACCAAAGGTAGAGGCACTCGAGAACACCTGCTGAATATAAGACAGATAATCGAGAAATCTAGGGAATTCAACATCCCACTATACATCTGTTTTATAGATTACCGTAAAGCGTTCGACAGGGTCAAGTGAAGACACTTATGGCGAATACTAAAAGAAGTAGGCGTACCACAACATCTAATTACGCTTATAAACTGAACTATATGAACACACTACTGGATCAGTTAAAGTACTTGACACACTTTCGAACGAGTTTCATCCAGAACGGGGTGTCAGACAAGGATGTATACTATCTCCACAATTATTCAACATATATGGAGAGTATATTATGCGAAGAGCACTTGAAGGATGGGAAAAGGGCATCTCAATAAATGGTCATAAACTAAACAACCTACGTTTCGCAGATGACACAGCCCTTCTTGCAAATAGTCAAGCAGAGCTGATGGAACTTATACGACTGATCGAAAACGAAAGTAAAATATTTGGTCTGCAATTAAACATATCAAAGACAAATATCATGATAGTGGATAGACTACACAACAATCTTTCACACATAACCACAATTGACCGGTTCGAGGTTGTGAGCTCATACTTATATCTGGGATCATTAATCACAAACACAGGGTCATTACAAGAAGAGATTAAACGTAGATGTGATCTAGCAAAAGTTGCCACAGCAAAAATGACCAAAATATGGAAGGAATGTCAAATTTCAAGAGCGATAAAGATGAGGTTGATCAACTGCTTAATATTCCCAATACTGACCTACGGATGTGAATCTTGGACTCTGAGACAATCGGAGAGAAAAAAGATAGACGCCACTGAAATGTTCTGTTGGAGACGAATGTTTCGAATTCCTTGGACCGACCGTAGAACAAATAATTCAATTTTAAGAGAGCTAAAAGTTAGCCAACGACTCTCTAGTAAAGTCCATCTCCAACAATTAAAATATTTTGGGCATGTTATGAGAGCAAACACAGAAAACATGGAAAGAAATACAAGGAAAGGTAGAAGGCCGAAGATCACGAGGAAGATCCCCAACAAGATGGATAGATCAAATTACAGGAATATGCCAAAGACCTATGCATGAATTAAAAGAAATGACCAGAGACAGAGATCTCTGGAGACGGACAATACACGACATCACGTCGACCACTACACTCCCCCTGGGGGGTCAGGATTGAAGAGAGAGATTTTAGAGTGATGTAAAGCAATTGTAGTTATAAATAAAAATATAAATAAATTGTAGTGAGTTTAATTCCCGTTACATTTGGTATCAGGTGTGAGGTCCTAATAATACGTTACAATACTTTAAAATAAGTTATTGATGTCATCATGTATTGTACGACTTACCTCTGCTAATGCACCAATCCTAGGCCGAATATCCCAAGCTCCGATCACGTTCAGACAAGCCACAACCATATAGTGCTGTTGATCATTCGTCGGAACTTCCGAAAGCATGGAAGTCAAACAGGCGTCACTCAAAAAATACGCAGCCAAATTCAACTTTTGTACTAACATCGCGTTAAGGATCTGATTCCAGCCCAAAACGCAGTGCAGCATCCTCAGTAGATTAATAATTTCTTGTCCTATGGTACCACTATGGGATTGCGTTAGGAGCACCGACGATTTTGTTATGGAAACCGGTTTGTTGCAGCTGTCATAGGAACATGTAAGGATTATTTTGCCTAGAACGTTAAGAAGTTTCTCTAGCAGTGGCGGTATTTCTGGATTGTCCATATCCCACGCCTTGAGTACTATCTGCAATAACCTAATAGTTAATATTTGCTTCAAGAGTGCGGATTCGTTCCCTCCTGGGCTACTAGGCGGAGAAAGGAATCCCAGTAGCATCCTAATCCACGGTTTGGTGCTAAATGCCCTACACAGTTGCGTAGTCTGGCAAATACTTCGCACCAAGGTTAGATCAGCCCATTCGGAGTACGTCGAACTCAACGAAGAACAGAATAAACTGCTCAAACCATGTAAAGTGTTAGGATGAAGATTGTTGCTTGATAAACCGGTACTTATTGCTATATTTCTTAGAAAGTTTATACTGGCATCTCGTAACAGACGGATCAATTGATTATCTTTGACTAGCTGAGTTCCTGAAAGGTAAAATTGATATTAAGTTTAGTAGAAATTGGTACCTGGTACCTATAAATGTTTTGAATTAGCTCAAACGATTCAAATTAAAAAATGGCACCATATTTGATTACGCTATTATTAAGGAGTTGAAGAATGCCATGCGATGGGTACTGTCTCATATGACCTTGGAACTACTTTTATGTTTCTAAGCATATGACTATGACAGCTTCAAGAAGACCATGACCAACTTCAGGTCACTTAACGAACATAGGTTAAGCACATTGTAATATGTAAGATTTCAAGTAAAACTTAAAAATAATAAAAGTATATTATTTCATAATAACAAACAAAAGACAGGTACAGAAAATTTCTTAGCTAATCTTGAAAGTTGTTATAAAAACGGACAGATGTAGATTCATATAGAAATGGTCGATATTAGGACTTTAAAGACACTAAGTTCAATATGATTGGCAAGTTGTCTAAATTTTAAAATGTAAATTGGTTTAAGAACATAAAAATTGCCCGTAAAGAAGTTGATGGCCTGTTTCTTTGTACAAAATCAGGTATGTCTTTGTCAAATAATTAGGACAAAGTAAAATAGTCAGTTCTGAATGGTGTTAAGAAAAGCTTCTTAACAAAAGATATAAATAATCTATTTTTAATTTAGTCTAGTTTCAATTAGTTAGCAATTTCTCATTCGCGCCAATCTAATATGTAATAGTTGGGTAATTTCTTAAATCCTTAGGAAAAAGGCAAAAATTCACATCTATAACCACCAAAAAAGAAACTGTAAAATGCTTTTGTATAATAGAAAGTTACCGGTGTCTTTTGAACAATACAACTCTACAAATATGCTTCCCTTTATGTAAATGGAGTCGGCGGGGTTATTCCTATGACGACACTAAGTTCGAAAACATGCAAAACTATATAAATCTTAATGAAGAGAATCTCAAGCAATGTTAACTCATTTATGTCAAAATACTCCACGCATATTACTCATATTACTTACCATTATCACTTGGTTCTTCGGTTTTCTGATTCAGACGTAACAGGTGACGGAGGGGAAGCCAAAGTCAAGTCGTACTTTCCTTCGATTCCCATTCTGTAGCTATTGGTTGTACCGTTGTTCCATTCTACTCGGACCACCCGTCGTCCCCGAGCTCCCCTATTACTCGGCCCTCTCCAGGGGGATTACCGTCCTATTTAAAGAAAATATATACATGTTTCGTATTGAAAATAACTCTAACTTCTATAAGTAAATTTCTGTAATTCGTTTTATAGAGGGTCGCATATTAAACAACAAAAACCACGTTAGTATTCTTAAGCTAATTTCCGATTTAAAAGAATGGTGTTGCTACATAGCGCCATCTAGTTTGCATGATAGAAAGTATGTCGTAACTATGTGGCAACCGCCAAAATATTTGAAAAATTGGAAAATATTGCTACGGAGTATACAAATGTATTCTTAAAGCTTCTTTAGCAATATCTTTAAGTTTTTACTCTAAATTATGTTGATGTTGATTAGAATGTCTATAAAACGTTTTCTACTTATTTATATTTTTTTATTGTATTCAAATAAAATGTTTATCTTTCCATAAAATGACTTACCTGATCGCCCCATTTCCAATCAGCTCCTCTGACAACTCTCGTTCCCAATTTCATCAAGTTTGCCAATTCCGGACCGGACAAACAACTCGTCTTCGGCTTATTACTTTCGATCATATCGGCATACAGTACATAAAACTCAGACACCTTCCTTACTATACTTTGATCGCACCCTGTTTGCTTTAACAACCCCAAAACTGAGCTGATAACTCCACTGTTAACAATAGGGCTTAGTTCCAGAGCGTTGTACCTATTCGATGATAAAATTCCTAGTATAGCCAGAAGCATTCTAGCCCTGGGAATGTCTCTTAACAACGTGTAAGTACCTAGATTCAAATTCACTTTGGCGCTCGTTCCTTTTCCTTTATTAGTTCTGGATGGAATGTCCCTTAATATGTACGCTCTTAAAGTTTCGATACACCACTCTGTAACAGCTAGTTGTGATAGCAAAATTTCTTGTTTTCAAGAAAGGTGTCACCAAGTCTATGTTATCTAAACAGTGATGAGTGTTTTCTTTTTTGTTAGTCGATAAATAACCGTTCATGATAGCGTATTTCACTGAAGTTAATAGAGTTGTTTCGTTCAGAAGGTGGGATATCATTTGGAGACCTTCTTTCCTCGTTTTACATCTTTTTACCTGAAAAAAATTACTATAGAAGCGTCCGAGATTAATAAAATGCTAATTCAATGCCTCATCCAGAATGATTTAAATTCTATTGGAGTTGAAGCATGGAGAAGAACTGCTAGAGACAGGGGGAGAAGAAAATGATTGTTCTGAAGAAGGTTTTAGCTCACAATGAGCTGTGATACCACTGATAAATGATGTCTCGCCGAGTTTTCTACTCCTTTTAACGGGTCATTTATACGTGCCTTCTCTACTATAGTTTACATACTAAACCTTTTAAAGCCTATCTTCCTGATTTAGGGGAAATACAGTCAAAATTGAATGAAATAAAATTATTAATCAAAAATCGAATTTAAATTCCAATTAATTCACAACAAAAACTTTATTTTCTTGTCCAATTCATTACAGATGAAATTACTATGAGATAAGATGCGGCATTTATAAAATTTACTGTGTGATTTGATGATAAGCAAAGCAATAGAAGGATTCAAAATCAATAAAATGTTTTCCTAAGTGACGAATCATGCGAAAAGTCATTGAGATAAAAAAAACCCAACCAGTGTCTTAACAATAAGAATAATACCTGTTAATACAAAATTTTAATCTGTTTTACATCACGACAAAGCTCCTATCCCAATATCAGCCAGCACATTATCCACACCCATGCTAACTGTTCGCCAACCACTACATTCTTATCCAAATTCTAAAATAGTTATCTCCGGATCGTCCAAATAGTACTGCTTCTAATATGTACTAGGTAATGTACAGACTGACACTTCAGATCAAGATATGTTCTTAAAGATGACTCCACATATGAAGCCGAAACCTCAACATAGCCAAAGCAACGCGGTTAGTAAACAGCCTCATTTCGTATGTTAAATCCCATAAGAAAAAATGTTAACATCCATTCTGATCATGTTTTGAACTTTTTAAAGTCAGGCCTGAACGGCTCTATGAATCGTAAAGTTTTTTGTAACGAAATCAAAGATGACGCCTGAATTTTTGACATAATACGAGACGTTTTGATATAACACGTGACTTTTTAACATAATACATAAAGTCTTGACATAAAACGTGGCATTTGACGTAGCGTTTTGATACAGCATGTCACGTTTTGACACAACACATGATTTTTTGATATCAAACATTACATTTGACTTGATACATAACGTATTACGTGACGTTTTGACATAAGGGGCATTTTGAAGTGAGATTTTATACCACAGCAAGAAGTTTTGACTTAATACGTGACCTTTTGATATAATACGTGACATTTTAACGTAACACAACATAATAAGTGACGTTTTACAATAACAATTACCAGAATGAACATAAGCTTTTTCTGATGGGAACTGCGGTTTAACTCGGGAAATGAAGAAATTTGAAATGGATTCTTATAATCGTCTCAATATTCGTCATCAGTTTCGCAATAATATATATATATATATATATTTATACTATAATATATATATAATTATATATATATATATATAAATATATTTATCAATATATAAATAAATATATATATATATTAATATTATAATTATATATATATATAATCATATGTAATCCTAGTTTAACCAAAAAAACTTACCTGATTATACATAACTTTTCGTAGTATTTCTATATCACATGAGGAATTTGTAACGAACTGGAGTATGGAATGGATCATGTCTAAATTCTCATTACTGACTTTCTTCATTTGTTTTTCGTGTAATTTAGTGACTATACCTGTTGACAAAAAAAAACAAAGACAAACTAATATTGTCATCTACAAATATCTAATATTACCTGTCAACATCAGCTGTGTTTCTAATTTCTTCTCCTTATCTTGAGGCGTCGGTTCCGCTCGAGTTATGTTCTCGGTTTTTTCTACGGTCCATTTCTCTTCTAAGTCGTTTTTCATGTCGCCGCAATTTTTCGTCGGTTTCGAAGCGTTCGTATTGAAAGTTTCTGTGACAACAGCAGCCTTTTGAGTGCTGTTTTTGATTTCGTTGTTGACGTCGTCGGTTTCGCTTTTGGATTCTGAGATTTTGCCATCCGAACTGGCTTTTCGCATTTTGCTGATGTCTTCACTGGATTTGTGTCGTTCGATAGACTGTGATTGTATAGTAGCGTTCACTATGTCTTCCGGTTTTTGAATTTCAGACGTATGTCTGCCACATTTTAGGTCTTTTATCACTTTTTTTACCAAAGTTCTTACTCG